TTATCTCGCGGGCAATTCAACATATGTCTCAAAGACATATCCTGGTCTGCTATAGTGCACGATGAATTAATAACGCTCTCTCAGGGGATTCAAGTACTTGCGACTTCCATCGGGTTGTTGCAGGAGGTCGGAGAACTCTGCTGTTAAAGAAATGAATATTGGCAGCGATAAAGGAAGGGGTGGAATGGTGAACAGAGTCATGTTCGACGGATGCGAGATAAAATCTGTCTGACGACTGTTTCTGCTTGGATGTTAGAAAGGAAAATAGGGATCGTTTACATTGGAAGGATGCTGATCACTCCGGTCCGTAGATATTGTTATCGAGGGAGGCGAAGTAGTAACGGACGCAAACTTGAAGAATTTGGACTTCGGTGGCCGTCATTCACAGAGGCTGAGCAGGCTGCCAAGATCAATTCCTTTCAGTTGCTATGTCTTCGTGTTCCAAAGCTTCGGGCTGCTCAGCCCTTGTAATGGCAGCACTATTCTATCGGGAGAAAATTCCAGCGAGGTGATTCAGATGCAATGAGTGGGATGAGAGATTCACCGATTTCTCCGTGCCAGCCGATGTGTTACCGACATATCATCGAAACCTTTCTTACAATCACCGATCGGGTGCCTAGCGGGATGGAATCGGATACGAAGGATCTCAATTTGAGGGCCTCAAGAAGCCAAGGACGTCATAACGACTGCATAATCATCCTTGCGGAGCTCCATAATCGGACCCGAAGACCAAGGGCAGGAATTGGATTGCAGCTGTGTATGCAGTTGTGCCGCGAGCGGAAGCGATGTCATATTCATTGAGAGACTACCTTCGCAATGTACATACTGCGCTGGGAAAAAATCTGCCATAGGATCTCTGCAGGCAATGTCTATTGTCTCCATCACTGTTTTGCCAAATGGGTTTATACTCTGATCTAATTGGTTTCGCCACCAGCTTTCTTGTGCGTAACGCGAGCTGGATAGAATTTGGGAGCAGTGTATTCTCAGAGTGAGAGTATGGGCCTGGTGTAGGCGGTCCCATACGCGTCGTGATTAACAAGGCACGTAAGAGTTGGTAAGACCGTGACTACAATCAAAGCAAGATTCACCTGAATATTATTTAATATTACATAATTTGATGCCTTTGACCTTTGGAAGCCTTTGGACAGTCTGTATCAGATCAACCATCCCGTAAGTCACTGCATGTCAGTACCGTTTCAGCCAATTCTCCAAGGCTAAGAGTAACATGTCAACCAGGACTGTCAGAAATATTAACGCCAGTCTCCCAACCGACTTCAGAAGCTTGTATCGGCTCTTTCTTCGAGCTAATTCCGCGGTGGTGCTGCACCATTCTCCGTCGAAAACACAGGTTCGTCGGCTGTGGAGACCTGTCTTCGACGAGGCCGCATCAAAAATCCACAGGCTTCAGCATCACGACGTTTGTTCATCCGAGCGGACAAATATTGTCCAGTGGCTATATACATGGCACAGACGAGGTGGGTTCATCTAATTCTTTGCGTCATCTCTAATCATGTTGAGTTCTGAATGGTGTGCCGAAATTCACAGTGGACCATACACTTTCGCTACTCGCGACCGCGGCGGTAACACGAGGCCTCGCCCATAAAATCACTCGCAATCTGAAATGGCTAAGACAAAACCATGTTTTGTGGGTCGAAAAGTTATATTATTCCCACAAGCCTTTCTGGAAACCACAACTCCCTCGGACTTCTGCCCAGTACCAGCCTTATTCTCTTCCAGCACCCGGCAGCAGGCCCGATCACATACTCAGGAAAAACAGGAAAATGAGGTTGTTTGACGAGCAGTGTTCGAACGCGATCGGCGAGGTCGTAAAGATGGCTGAAGGAAGGCATGATATCATTCTGGGGAGACTTCGCCTTAAACGATGGCAGCACGAGTGGTCGTCATGACTGTGCGCACGTAATCGTGTTTTAGACCATATGATTGACTCATAAAATAAAGATTGACGCAAGTCGACCACTTTTTTTGTTGTGGTGAGTTCATCCACCTGCTTCCATGCTCGACGGATACTTGTTTATGCCCGGATACAATCTTGAAACAAGTATGTTATCCTGAATCCATTCCTTATCACTGCAAGACAATAAATTCTAGCGCCTAATGGCACCGGTTCGTCCAGCAAACTCTGTTTATCTTTGGGCTATTCTATTCGCGCGGTGCCGGCCCCACACCTATTGTCTTGAAGTTATACAATGTAGACCATCTGTCACATCGTCACGTGCGCAACACATGTCCTCTGAAACGCGCTCCCATAACAGGTACTCGTTATTGTGGTATACTTATAATCAGTGGTGGCTACGATGGCATAAAAAGCTCCTGAAGAGTCGCAATCTGTTATTCATGCCCGCGCAGCTGTGCTCCGCCTAACACTGTACTTTATACATGGCATATCATTCCTCAGCCAGTTTTCGAACTGGAGTTGCTGGTCAATTTGATTCCTCATACCCTCATTTGATTTCGCACATATCACTTCAGGACAAGTCAGAGTCGCGATCGAAGCCGATGTATGAAGATATGAAGAACATCCAATATTGGATCACAGCGGTCAATTTGGTCAGTGCTCGAATGAAATGACGTTACTAGCCGACTTATCGTAAACCAAACTTGTTAGGGCGAAAAGCCTGATATTGACTCCAAAGTGCCTTCATCACCTGACGGCATCTTTGCGCATCCATTCAGTTCCTTCGGCGATCACGATCCTTGTGATCTGCAGGATGACGAATACGGATCCTGCGATGGCCTTGATGGTCTGATGACTTTTGACATAAGTCCTTGGCTAGCTCACCATATGAAGTCTCTTTCGGACAGCAGCGATGACACTGCTACGAATTCTACCGTTCCTGACAGCGAAGCCACGGCGCAATACATTAACATTGCTTGGGACAGTCCGTGGTACCGCTTACCTGGGACCAGTAGTCCAGTTTCTTCTTCGCCTCTCCCAGATTCCTACTCTTGCGCATGTTCGCCAGACGTTCGGCAAGCCATGGCGCAACAAGAGCTTTTACTGGACTTTTTCCACGAGGAGTTGCGCCGGATCATTCCGGGTACTCACGATTATAACTCTGCTTGGTTAGAAGATGTTGACCCCGACCTGGTTCTTTCACCGGTCCAGAGCTATGAGGAGCTGTGTTGGCAATCAGCGGTCTTCGACACTCACAAGTGTCACCCTGATGTGCCTGTAGGGCTTGGCGATTAAGCTTATAGGAGATTTTAAGAGGTTTGCTGAGCAAGAACATCGATGTGGGGTCACTTTTTGGGGTTTCTTTTCATTGTATCAATATATCAGGTTGAACTGTTGCACTGTTATATACTGCCATCCTGTGTTCGCGTTCATTTCAAGTTTTTTACAAATTCGCTTCCACTTCTCCTCCGAGCTCGTTTGTAAATGTAATATTACTGTTTGTGCTTTGACATAGAACGTCCCACACTTTAAACGAGCGTATCGTTGCTCGCTTCCTCAGCTCGCCTCAGTTGTTCGCGAGACAAATCGTTCGAGTTGAAGATTTTTACTGGTAAATTTCTCCGGATATCCCGACTTATACTTTACAAATGCGTTCGCTGAATCTGAATGATATGCCATGACCGTGACCGTCAAGCTCTTCCTTTGGTCAAACTTTCAAAAAGACGCTCGGTGTAACCAGTTACCAGCCCGACATGGTTCGACTTGTGTCACAATTTTTTAGGGCCATGGCCGCCATTACGCCATTGGAGCAACGTTCATTGATGCCTTCTCAAGCTGTCCCCTGGATTCATGCAGTGCGCAGTGCTCTGGTAGACAGGCTGGGCATGCTTATCTTTAATTTTCAGCGGTATGAAAATCACAACGTTCCTAAAAATCTCACGCTGCAGCATTGGCCTACTTCCTTCCATCTCATTTCCGCTTCGCCCTACTAGTAGTAGTAAGGCGATACAGAGAACGTACGTTAACCGCTCATGGCTGTCAGGGCTGGTCCTATTCGGCAGGACCAAAATTGTCTACTATTACTATTTCGGGCTCAGGTATTTCGGCTTCTTTCGCTAGATTTGTCGCCTCCGAATATCCTGTATAATACTGCCCATCTTTTGATATAAAATGAGTCGAGCTTCACATCATCCCAACTAAATCCCATCTCAATAGTTGGTAATTATGGCTAACGTCGATAAATACGATAACTTTCTCTCAACCCTCCACGGAACATCGTCCAGCTCATGGACTGAAGCTCAGGAATCTGTGAGTGGCGCCTATGACCCCGAGGATGCGTTACATAGCTCAACTTCGTCATGCTAGTCGTTGCTCGAACCATACAACTACATTACTGCTAACCCAGGCAAAGAAATTCGTGGAAAGCTTGTCGAAAGTTTCAACCTATGGCTTAACGTTCCCAAGGACAAGCTTGCAGTCATCAACCGTGTAGTTGGTCTTCTCCACAATGGCAGTCTCTTGTATGTGTCTGCACGCTGTTGGACACTTATTAGCGCCGACTAATCTTCATGTTTACAGGATTGACGACATCGAAGATGACTCTCAGCTGAGACGTGGCATCCCAGGTTGGTCTTCTGTCGCCGTTACCCCTGAAAGGCATATTGACGATCTCTTCCAGTCGCCCACAAAATATATGGTGTTCCTCAGACCATTAATACTGCCAATTACGTCTACTTCTTGGCCTATCAGGAGCTGTCTGCTCTGAGGCCAACTGTTAAGCGTCGCGCTCCCATCTCGAGCTCAAGCTCGGACAGTGGGCTCGGCGAGGACAGTCCTGCTGAGACGGCCGAGTTTACTGACCGCATCATTCCCAATCACGACCTGGACATCGTGGTGACTGGTAAGTTGTTTATCATCATTGTTGCAACAATCCTAATGTTACAATACGTATAGGTGAGCTTATGTCGCTGCACCGTGGGCAGGGTATGGATATTCTCTGGCGTGACACCCTGCGCTGTCCCACAGAAGATGAATACGTGGACATGGTGAAAGCTAGTAGGTTATCGTCGCTGTCTCAGATTCCTTTTTTGTCAACAACTTTTTGCCAGAAACGGGTGGTCTCCTCAGGATTGCTGTCAAACTGATGATGGCATGTGCTACAACTAACACGAATGTGTAAGTCTCACATGAAGCCCGTTGGTATTTCCCAAACTAACTGAAACTCCTACCAGTGACTACATCCCTTTGACGGACCTCATTGGGGTTCATTTCCAAATACGTGATGATTACATGAATCTCCAGAGCAGTCAGGTTAGCCTTTTATGCATTCTGAGACAGGATGGGACGATTTGAATATGCTGTTTATAGTACACGGATAACAAGGGCTTCGCAGAAGATTTGTCGGAAGGAAAATTCTCCTTCCCCATAGTTCACGGTATTCTGGAACAGCCCGATAACCGCCAGATCATGAGTGGGTTCTTCAATTCTTTCCTCTGGATCCATCTCATTCGATTTTATTGTCAGATGTCCTGCAAAAGCGTCCCAAGACCCCTACCCTCAAGCACCACACCATCAATTACCTCAGGGACACTACAAAGTCGTTTGACTACACTCTGGCTGTGCTCAGAAAGCTCGAACGACAGGGTAGAGCAGAAATTGCGAGACTGGGTGGCAACCCGATGTTATCTGCGATTATGGACAAGCTTTCTGTCGATGTATAAAACACGATGTCTTTGATCGATACGTTGTACCATCATGCTTCTGGGAGTCTCATAGATCATATGCATTGTAATATTTTAGAGGCAATTATTGAATCATTCTATTCTGGCATAACTGGTGCAGAATGTGAAGCTAGAATTTGCATACATAACAAGTGAAACAACGCCGCTACTCGACTTCTATTTCTGACGCACTAGAGGCCTCTGTATCACCGTCCTCACCAAAGAAATCATCCCCTTTGGTAGTAGTACGATGTGCTGCCGAGCTGGTTTGATCGTCCTTTCTAAGAGATCCTTCTCCTTCGTTTTTGTGGGAATGATCTAGCCCAGAGTGTCGTCGGCTGCCACCATCGAGCTCATTTTCGGGTTGTTTGCTAATTTCGCCACGCTGCATCTGGTCTCGAATGAGATCACGGACCGTAATGCGTTGGTCATTGTCGTCAGAAGTTGTCGAGACCGTGTCGATGTGACGTCTTTCTGGAGGAAAAAGTGATATGTACTTTTCGGTCCTCGGGTAGTGCTGTAGCATCATCGTTTGAGAAAACTCGTCCCACGAGATTCAAGACCCGTACCAGAATATAGTTGAGGTCCACTCTCAGACCTTCGAGTTCGCCTTCTAACTTTTCTCTCTCCTTTCCTTGTGCCGAACTAAGATCGCGTTTGACTTGCTTGATCCTACGGACCACTTTCTGGCGCTCTTCGCTGATATAGCTGCTGACTGACAGAGTGGCATATCATTTGAACTCACCAAAGAATTTGACTTTATGATATTTCATAGCATACGTTCGCTCCTTCCTTGCCACTTCAGCACGAGCAAGGTCTGCCTCAAGCGCTTTCAGCCTTCGCTCAGTCTCCACGCGAACATCAGCTGCAAGATTTTCTTTTGCCAAAAGCCGTCGCGTTTGGCGGAGTGAAGATTTGATTTTTTGAACACCGGGCAGAGACTCTTCTGTATTTTGAGGATGATGACGTTTTTTCTTGGTCCGTTTTGGACCTGAGCGGGGTGAGGAACTGGCCGTGGGTTTGCTGTCATCCCGAGCAGCTTGGGGCGCCATCACGATGAAGTGGTCAGAAGGTGGTCGATGGAAAGTCGATAGAGGTCGATGATCAGAAGAACGAGATTGGGGTTAGGGTTTCCTTCCTTCCGAAGTTCTAACCTCGGAGTCACTTAAATTATCTCTCAAAACTGATCGTCCACGATGCGCAATCTAGTGCCAACTGCCATCAAAGTTTCAACTTTAGAACCGGCCTACAATGAACAAATCTCCGATTCTGCCTCTAGTGACTGTGTCCAGGAATCTATCGTCGCCGCTGCCTTTGACGTTGACAGAGGATTAATTTTTGCCGCATCGGAGGATGCGCAGTTCGGCGTGCGCATATGGAGGACTCCCGTCGATCCCTGCGAATGGAATGCGCCTATTTTGTGTGGCTCATTTGCCTCCGTCGATCCGAAAGTTCTGTCTCTCCGAGTTATAGGCGAATCTGCACAACTCGTCTTGGTGACAAGGAGTGGGGATACAGTTACATGGCAGTTGGATGACTCTGGGGAACTCATTGTGAGGCGCATATACACGATTTCTTTAAGCTGTGTTGATCGATGCAGAGCGGTCCAGATGTTGTAGGAAGTGTTGATTCAGGTATATTGTCTGTTGAATGGAGTCCTGATGACACACTTCTTGTGATGATTACTGGTGCGTCTCCTAGTTCCAATGGCTACCTGAACTTACTGTTGCTGATGCTATGGTTCAGGCGACGAAAATCTTATTCTTATGACCTCCACATTCGATGTCCTATCCGAAGCACCCTTGGATACTGAAGATTTTGGCGAAGGTACGCCGTACCTTGTGGCTTGTGATGTTTCTGATTATATGTGTATTCGCAGATGCTCCAATAAACGTTGGTTGGGGTGCAAAGGAAACACAATTCCATGGCTCGATAGGAAGAGCACATCTCAAACCCTCGACACAGTCTCCAACTCAAATACAAGAAGATCCTAGCGATGATGGCCTCCCTCGGGTCAGTTGGCGCGGCGATGGAGCTTATTTTGTGGTGTCTTCTCTAGCCAGGCAAACTCCTCAGTCTGGCAAAGAACGAATTTTACGAGTTTATTCAAACGAAGCCCGACTTCAGTCTACCGCAGAGAATGTTGCAGGTCTGGAACCGAGTCTATCCTGGAGACCAAGTGGCAATCTTATTGCATCTACGCAAAAAGACATTCGCATAGGACCATCAGACACGCAGCGGACCGGAAAACATGGGGTCGTTTTCTTTGAGCGTAATGGATTACCGCATGGGGGGTTTAATCTGCGAGGGGACGATCGAGACTCCCGTATCAAACATCTTGCATGGTCATCAGACTCAAATGTGCTTGCCGTTCATATTGAACGGGAACATGGTGATGTCGTACAATTATGGACCACCGGAAACTATCATTGGTAAAGTTAACTTTCCCTTCATGAAACCTTTTTTTACCTTCGTATCCACAGGTATCTCAAGCAAGAGATCTCGGCACCAGTATCTACCCACTTTACGTCTGTCACTTGGCATCCTGAAGTGAGCATGCGACTTCTTTTGACATCGCCGCGTACGCGCTTTTCAGATATTTTCGTCTCATGCCATACTGAAAAATTTTACAGTTCGAATAATACAGCATGATTATGCATGGGAGACATGTGCTGGAGCCAATGATACTGGCTGTGTCGGGGTCATTGATGGTCGTAAGTTTTCATTCACGTTCCTTTGCCCTTCATTTATTGAGTTGATCACAGAGAAAATTTTGCTTACACCATTCCGTACGCAAAATATACCTCCGCCTCTGTCATCGCATCAGCTGCTAGTGAATACTCCAACTGATGCATCATGCGGAAGCCTGTTTCTGTCCCAGGTACCACCTCACATATCGCTCTCGCAATCACATGACCTTCTCGCTGCAGTATGGCAAGAAGGACACGTAATGATGTGGGCATTGCAAACACGAATCACGCCAGGCGGGGCGGCTATGAACCCAATTCTTATCTGGTCAGCCAATTTGCCGCGGGAACTCTGTCATTGTCGTCAAGTCATTGTTTCGTCCGAGAATGATGATGACGAACATAGGACTATCTCGGCTGCGATACTCGGATCTGACGTCAGTGGGAACGACCGAATCGTAATTCATGACTTTGAGCATGTCATTTTGCCGTTGAAGTCAATTTTGCCGACAAGATCAAGGACAATATCGCTACAGCAAAAAAATGGACGTCTTGTTCCGCACGATGTTCCTGGACATCTTGCTTGGCAGGCACCTGACGGCTCTATGCTCCAAGGTGTGCAGTGTCCTTACCCTAAGACGTGAATAGACTTGATGGCTGATTACGGCCTTCTAGTTCATAGGGAAGAAGAATCGTATTCACAAATTTGCTCTTTCACAGAGTACTGCCCCTCCTCCCAACGCGTCGGCGCCCAGCTTTTTGTGGGTTTGTCTACAGGAGGCAAGGTCTATATTGCAATTCCGAATGCAGAATCGACATCACTAGCCAGCAATGTGAACTCTTTTACTGTTGCTTCCGGATTCGTGATTTTCACCACTACCTCACATGACGTGCAATTCGCGCCTCTAGAGAATGTGGTTGCAATCTTGACTTCAGGTCAGGGAAATGGTATGCTCTCACCAAATGGCGACGAAAATAAAACGAGCGAGCTCGCGTCGCAAGCTTGGCAAAAACGACGGGTTGAAAGAGGCTCAAGAATCGTCACAGCGGTACCAAGTACAATGAGCTTAGTACTTCAAATGCCACGAGGGAATCTCGAGACGATTAATCCGCGACCTATGGTAATGGAGGTCGTCAAAGGCGATCTAGATGCGTGCGTATTTCGTCATTGACCCTCACACATTGATCACTCACATCTTATCCCAGTGGACTGTGGCGAAAGGCTTTCATGGCTTGTCGTAAACATCGCATTGACTTCAGCATCATCGTCGAGCATAACCAAGAGGTTTTCATGGCTGGTATTCCAGCGTTTGTGGACCAGATTGAAGACGTCGACTACATAAATTTGTTTTTGACAAGTGTAGGGTAATGCAACCCAGGAACTGCTCTAACATTTGTCTGACCAGTTTTTAGGCGAAGTCAACTCCCTGCAGAGGTCGTCGCCAATGTTTGCGATTCCGTGCGCCAAGATTTAGAGGACAGGGATTTGACGAAATATATCAACTCCATCCTTACTGCGTACGTTGTCAAGTCACCACCAGACCATGAAGCTGGCCTGGCGTTGTTGCTCCGCTTGCGAGGTATGAATTCTCGATCGTGTTATAGATATCAAATTAAACTAGCTTCATCCAGACGTCAACCCAAGCTTGGTCGAAGAGGCTGTCAAATACATCATTTTCCTTGTTGATGCAGATCGACTATTTGATACAGCTCTAGGCATGTATGACTTCTCTCTTGTCCTTATGGTCGCACAACACGCGCAAAAGGTACGTCTTATTTTGATAACTTTTACAAAGTAATTCATCTCTTTTCAGGATCCGAGAGAGTATCTCCCGTTCCTTCGCGAGCTCAGGGCATTGCCCAAGTATTACCAGCACTTCAAAATTGATGATCACCTCAAGAGGCGCGCGAAGGCTCTCCGCAGCTTGAGTCTCGCTGGTATGATATATTGACGGATCTTGACTTGACTTAAATACTTACACCTCGATCCAGGTCCCGAGTACTTCCAGGAAGCTCTGGATTACTTAGACATACATCAATTACACGACGAGGCCCTAGCAATTTGGCAAGGCACAGACAAGTATACGGTAGCTGAGCTTTGCATTTGACATCCTAAACTTACATTGACCGGACCCCCAGGATGTCTTGGGCATCTATGGCGCTTGGCTATTTGATCGGCACGAATATCATCAAGCAGCTACAGGTACGTCAATGCGGGAATGACAGAAATCGTCACTGATGTCCTGTCAGTTTTCGTGGAAGCATCCGATGCAAGACGTGCTATGATATCTTATGAAAGGGCACTACAATGGCAAGAACTCTTTGAGCTCTGTCTGAAAGAGCAGCTTGATGGCGATGCAATCACGGATATTGCATACCGCATTGCCGGTACGCTGACTGGTCCTCCGATGATCGCGTTCCAAACTGACCAAAAGGGTAGATGAACTCTTGTCAAAGAAGCGCTTCAGTGAATCCGCACGGGTACTCCTTGATTACGCCAAGGACATCCGGCAGGCAATACATTCGCTTGCTCAGGGTAATGAATTCGCCGAAGCACGGAGGATAGTACGTATAATTTCGGACAATCGCAACGGATGTGTTGGCTGATACATTCATGCAAGATCACCTTACATGCCAAGCCCGAACTTGTAGATCAACTGCTCCTTCCGTGTGCCTTGGATTGTCGCGCACAGATTGGTGATGATATCAATGAGATGCGGGAACAACTTTGTAAACAAGTAGCTCGATTGACAGAGCTCAGAATCAAGAAGGTGGAAGAACCAGGTGCGTACCAAGTTCGTGACGCGTCCGCTTCTTTTGAGATAACAATGCGAGTAGATGCCTTCTATAATCTTGATGATCCGACCCTTCATAATGTCGACGTCATGACGGATGTATCTATGGCGCCCACTACTTTTACGCGGTACACAGTAGCGCCCTCAGCTACTTCGAAAGCTTCAAAGTGAGTTTCCGGCCACTCCGGTCCTTCATTAGTATTTCATGATCTCTCCCAGGCGAAGTTCCAAAACGAAGCGCAAAATGGAGCGTAAGCTAGGTTCTGGGAGAAAAGGAACTGTTGACGAAGAGGAGTATATACTCAAGTCGGTCACGAAGCTGGTAGAAAGATGTGCCACTACTCAAGGTTCAAGGACTCTCATGTTATGTTGACCGCGGCTGACGACCTTTGTATTACAGGAGAAATCAAAAAATTACTACCACATCTCCTCCAGCTTTCCAAAGCTCACCGCGAAGAGGGTGTTGCTCTACAAGTGGAGTTTGATCACCTGCAGTCTGAGCTGCGAGCGGCCATCGAGGACATTTGGAAGAAGCCTGACGAGCCAACGCCAGTGGATTCTTGGGCTACAAGGATGCAAGAGAGGGCGAAGGAACAGCTTGTCGAGCCATTACAGCGGATTCCCAGGCCAGAGATGAGTACATCAGAATGGAGCTTGAAGCTTCTTCAGCAGAAGCTCACTGGTTGAATGATCATGACACGGTCTTGGCGTTGGCAGTGTAATATATCACACTCAAAATAAAGTAACAAAATCGTCTATCCGATTCGCGCTGAGCCTGAGCGCCCAATTCTAATTATTGTACAACAAGATATGACTACATGGTTGCGTATTTCACTTCAAAGAATAACTGTCAGGGGTATAGGTGGAGTATACATGGAATGGTAGCAGTGGTAGGTAAGATATCATTAAATCGTTAGATAGCGTGTGGTAAGCGACAGTGGATGTGGGAACCAGCAATAGACGAAAGCTGTGAAAGGTGGTCAACGGCTAGATCTGAACAGAAATAAGCGACGGCATATACCGTGAATTCATAGGACGCCGAGCCCAGAGCACGGGACGACTTCATCATAAGTATTGGATTTGGGGTTTTTGCGCTTTATCGCACCGGTGGATGGTCATCATTTTCGAGGTCACAAATATCTAGTGTGGGAGATGAGTAAGGCACGATGAATGACAGTCAGGGTATAGTTTACCAATCGGAGATCGGAATGTTCGAACCTATGACAGCATAAGAAAATTCGATTGAAAAAAAGAACGTTCACGTACATAAGGGTGCAAACCAATCGCGGCACCATCGGAGTGCGGCCTCACTAGGCACCTGGAGCGTCGATCGAACATGTACTGTCCGTCTGCAGGCGGTGCCTCCACATCCTGCGTTTGCTCCCATGTCTGTCTTCTTATTCGCACATGTCCGTCATGGGAATGAGAATGGTGACGGGTATTGTTCGCGGAGTCTTCGAATTCGTATTCGGGCGTCGTGCCCTCGCTTTGAGAAGGCTCAGACGAGTGTGTGGAAGGGGCGTGGACAAAGGCCTTGGGGGCATGCATGGGCGAAGAGATGTGCTGGTTATCTGCGCCATAATTGATGTCAATTGATGCCGTTATCTGTGGTTTGTCGACTACGGATGTCGGTATGAGAGCAGTCGTATAACCGAGCTCTTGAGTGAGTGATCGGGGGAAGAATATCTGGCCAAATATGAGTGGGGAGGATATATTATCCAGAAAAACTCACCAAAAGGGTTATGAACGAAGAGACGAAGCAGCCGATTCCGCCCAACATAATCAAAAAATCTGACAGTGGATTGAGTACAATATCTCACGTATAGCTACCCTCACACACCTGACCAAAAACTTACGAAGATAGTGAGATTCAACCTACGTAGATAAACAGAACTTCCACTCACGGATTTTGGTTAATCGGGTGACTTCCTTGTACCCCATCCAATGCCAAAATGAACAGCGGAATAGTAAACAAGAACCTAAACAAAACTCGTCCGAACTTGATATGGCGAATGTTACGATGGGTCACTGTGACGAGATACAATTTGAGCACTCACATTCAACTGATAAAACATTACGAGGCGTAAGACAATGTTTGGCTCCCCTCCATCCGCTTTCACTCGACGGATGAAACCTGGAAACCTTGCAAGAACATACAGAAACAAAAGGGTAGTTGCCGTCGATGCAGACGACCCGACCAGAAAAATCCAAGCTTGGCACTGTAACGGAAGCCTATCAGGATCACTTCAGGCTAGCTGTGAGAGATCTCTACCGTATCAAGATCCCGACGGGAAATAAGAGTAGTCAAGGGCATTCCCAGCCCCGCTACAACCGTGCCTGTGGAGAAAAGGCGACTCGTCAGGAAAGAAGTCCATTGGAAATGTAGATAGACAATACCAAGTAGCCAAAGTCGGAACTCCCAACTATCAAACCAAAGCCGCGTCTTAGGGCCTTGATGGAGGATGAAGAGCCAGAATGTCAATTCTGAGGAGCAATGAAATTGAACATGATATCTCGGGGTACTGATTCGACCACAACCTACCTTCCCAGTGTGTGACGCTAGTATGTGCCACAACCACATGAGTAGCGCAATAGCTTCAGCAAGAAAAGCGCTCACAGCTCACAAGCCCATGCTGCGCTGAACAAAAACAGAAGAGGCAATATCCACTTTTGGTGACTAGGTGTATATAAGTCGGTGGGTTTTGGATAGACTGTGGTTTCTGGAATGAGCTCGGGCAAAATGACATGCATTGCGGACTCACTAGTCCCTTCTGGGGTGATGATAAAGCCTAGACAATAAAGATGAGGAATATTCGTTGTGCAAGCAAAATGCAAACGACCTTCTTTGAACTTTAGGTATGTGTATGCAACGCTGAAGATCACGAGGAGAGTCAAGGTTGCTATGTAGGTGTACTGCCAGTGTTTAGACAACGTCAGAAATATCCGAATAACTTGTTTTGAGTCGACACGTGGTACGCACCGACATAAACCGTTTGAATGCGCCAGGCTGTCTCCCAGACTCACTCCACTTGAGACATTGGAATCTATCATATTTCCAAAGATGAAATATGAGGAAACAAAAGAACTACGCATGGTGCCATGGCATGAGAAGCGTGCTCTATTTGGAGAAGTGTGCCATGCGCTCACCAAGCATGCTAGTATAGACCATACAAGATACGCGGTGGGCGAACCACTACTCATGGCTGAACGAAACGGACCAAGGAAGAGAGCACTCGACGATGGTAAGAGTGCGATTTGAAGGAGTCGGATTTGAAGGTTGAACCTAAAATGCTGAGTGAGAAGGGAGCCTGCGACTTGAGTGTGTATATATGGAATGAACTGATTTCATTATCTGGAAACTTCCCCGCAGAGCCCAGCCGATTTCAGGCACCGTTGCTTTCCTCCCAGCAGCCACTCTCTGATATTATTTATACGACCCTCTAGACTTGGATCTCCAAGTTGCGCCGTAGCCCGGATCTAGGCAAAAACCTGCATTACATTATAGGTGGGCTAGTAACTGACTCCGCCCTTAATATTGACGTTATGTTACACCAAACGTTGTGCTCATTTTCAGGTCGTCACTTTATTGTTCAACTACGTATTATAATACTAAGCTGGCTGGAGTTTACTTGAACGCCGACCAATCATATCAGAACCCAAGTAACGGCGCGGGACCCCGTTTGCTCTCTCATTCTCAGTTGGCTCAGTCTCGTTGGGAGCAGGGACCAAGGATACTAGTAAGTGCTAGTCTCGGATCTTGGTTGTTACTCCTTTGTTAACTCTGTATACAAGTGTTCCCAGCCAGCTCGCTTCGACTTGAGTTAGAGTTAAAAGTAAAATGGCGTCATTGCCTCATTCGAATTTGCGTCAGCGTTTTGCGATTTCACATTCTGAAAATTTTCTGCTACCGCTGCGCATTCATATCCGCCGGTAGTTTCCATCTATTCATCCTCAGCTTACAGGTACTGCAGGTTTGAAACCGTATCAGGCTCGGGCCCCGTGAATTACGACTCACTGTTCCCATGTGTATCATGACGATGTTCATGAAATTGGTGGAGTGAGCATGCTTGGCAACAAATATATCGACTTCTTTCTTTCCCCTTCCCCGACACTCGCCGGATGTCTATGCAATATTGACCTGGTAGGTAGCAATCTTTTCAAGTTCCTCATTAAAGAGTTTGATGTCCCACTTGGGTTTAAAGCGAATAGGAATATTGAAACTGAGGTGAGTTAAGGTGAGCAAAATAACAAATACCGAAAGAGGCAGCATACCGCTCGAAGTTTCCCACTCCAATCGCTGTAACCTTTTCGTAGTCTCCCTTGCTGAGTGCAACCTGCTTGAAGTTCGAGATGATTCGGCCTACAAGAGTCTGTCAGGTCGTTTAACATCCACGACATGAATTGCACTGACCCTCTTGCACAGACTTGGGGATAACAGAGTAGCCCCGGTAAGCGCCCCAAGCAACGAGAACCTGGGCAGGGGTTGCACCGAGTTTCTCGGCGACTTCCTTCACTGCAGCGTTTTCCGTAAGCATAGGCTTGCCAACGACTGTAATTCAAGTATATTCAGGTCAGTATCTTCTCGTGACATGAAAGTAAGCAGAACACGCACAGTTGTTGCCTAGCGGGCTGTAAGCGGTGATGTGGACGCCTACCTGCTTGCAGTATGCAACGAGATCATCTTGAGGAAGCAGAGGGTGAGCCTCAATCTGGTTAACAGCCTGGAGATATTTAGTTGCATGAATGATTGTGGCTAACATGAATTAATCTATCATGCTCACAGGAACGACACCAGTAGCATCAATCAAGCCTTTGATGTGCTCGATCGTGAAGTTGGATACGCCAATAGCTTTGACCTATCGAAAGGTAGATACACATGACTGCACCATCATCCATGCTGTGGGCTTACCTTGCCAGTTTCCTTCAGCTTGATCATCGCTCTCCAGGTGTCGACAAGGGAGGTCTTAAGGTCCAAGAGTACCTCTCCTTCTTTGGTCGGATGTGGGGGAACAAGACCGTTTCCAGGCTCGAATGCAACAGGCCAGTGTACAACTGCCACATGTATGAATTCATAAACATGAAGGAACACTCGGTGATAACGCACGGTAGAGATCAAGGTAGCTGAGTCCAAGCTGCTTCAGTGTCTCGTCAAGCTCTGCCTCGGCGGGTCCTTGCTGGTGCGAGCAGTTCCAGAGTTTTGAGGTAATAAAAAGCTGCTCGCGAGTAACGACGGATGGTATAACTTTCTTCAGCGCGCGTCCGACCTCGTCCTGGTTCCGGTAGATCATAGCAAGATCAAGGTGACGGTAACCATTGCGGACAGCAATCTCGACCTATGTAGCCCGATAGGGAGATGGATGAGGCAAGAGGGACATTTGTGACTCACAGCACTTTCAACTTCATTTGGTTTAGAGAGCCAGGTGCCGAGACCGATCTCGGGGATGGTTGCACCTGTATTTAACTGAAGAACCTTTCCGAAGGACATTGTATGCAGGAGATACGGTGAGACAAGGATGAAAGATAGCCTGCGTCATATGCAACTCGATTGTCTTCTTATATTGTGCGTATGCATTTTCACGGAATGACGGCCCGGGTATCTCTCGAAGTGATAGTGCAAGGTTGGGAAAGGTGAGCAGCTAATCATAGAATGTGCAGTCCTCTGACCTTTAAAGGCTCGGTTCTGCTTCCCGTGATGAAGTCAAATCTTATGCATCAATAAGCTCTCGGTCATTTCACCCTTCATTAGTACAGCTAGACTCTAGAACCTTGTCGCTGCTCAATATCGTTGTGCGTAGCATAAGTCACGATTTGAGCAACGTTCAAATAGGCCACCTAAAATTTCACGGGGGAGGTTAAGGGCAGGTCAAGGAAAACTGTAGTATATCGCGGTCATGTCTGCTCACACCAGGCCACATCTAACCACGGCAAACTGAACACCTGGAGACTCGGAATGTTTGCGCAGGCCGCGGCAGAGCGGGCCGCCGGGCCGGACTCGGCCAATGATTTCGGATCAGATGGATTACCGCTCGAGCTTGGACTCCCACTGGCGGGATCAGTGATGCCCACAATTGAAGTTGTGATCCATGACACCCCCAAAAGTTTTGATTTGAACGGGGCCCGGGCACAATGTTGGTAGCAGTGCCAGTGGACGTAACATCGGCCACCGATCGAGGCAACAACGTCTTCTGACACCAGCCCCTCACCAATGTGCACTACTCCACTTTTCCGGCTTGGCCCAACGGACGATAATCAAAGATTTTTTTGTTTAAAAAAACCCCGACAACACTTTCACAGGAGCTTCGGAATTTTTGGGTGATTGGCCGATGGACAAGTAAGTCTTCTCCCTCACATATCCTTAGTTTATGCTTGTAGCGCTGTTTTTTCCCTAGACATTTTATATATATTTAAGTTCTCCTTGAACTGACGTGATGCTGTAGCAATACCATATAGACTCTGATGGCACCCTCTACGCTAAGCTGGAGACGATGGTAAAGCAACCTTGTCAGGTCATCATAGTCAGCCCATCTTACGCGTGTTGACCACCGCAAGTCGCCGTGAGGGTGTCTGACCGCATGATTTATGAGTCGCAAATATGCAGCATGCGGACTGGTGAAGTACATCTCACACCAGGACATTTGCACATCCGACTAGACCGTCTTCTATAGAGCAAGTAAACTCTCAATAGGATATTTTTTATTGAAAAGGTGCAGCATTCGTTCAGTCTCTGACAAGCAAGCAGGAAAGAAACAGGAAAGCCTCACAAGCAAGGCGGGCTAATCCTGCCGCATTTATGTATTTCCGTTGCATTGCGGCCACCATGATCAAGAAGGAACGACTGTCTTCCTTCTATATGGTCCGACTAGGGGAGACCATGCGACCACCGGCTGTTGATTCCCTAGTGTATAATAGTAAGAAGCGCAAAAGACAGCTCAAGCCCCCTCCAGCCTTATAAAACAATGCTGGAAGGCTTCCTCCCGATTACAGAAAACCCAGCTTCTCCACCATCACATTACCCACGCATTCCTAGGGTTATATGCCGCTGCTCCTGCTGCGAGAACCACACACGAGACGGGCATCATCTTCTCACTCCCCTTTTCCTTCCCCTTCCCTTTCTCCGTACCAAACCCACCACAAAAAACGTTCCCCACCCATACCCACGCGTCTCACACCATTATGGTGCATTTCCCCGCGTGTGATCAAATTGCCAGCAGCATCACGCGCGAGGCGTAGCATGAACGGGTCATCTTTCATCAACGGCCAGGAACGGCTCTTCCAATATTGTTTGGAAATGCCCTTTTTGATGCGATGACTGCTCAGATCATCAAGAGCGGATTCAACGCGGCTGCGCTCAAAGATTGCCGTGAACCGGCGGCTCCTGGAATATGACGGATTGGGTTTATCATCCATTGAGCCATGCGCTACCGAACGTAGCAGGAGTAACGTGTATTGGAAATCGGGATGTCATCTAATATCCTAGGGGGTCCCTCAGGCTGCTGATGGTATGGCTGCTACCATTCTTGACATTGTTTGTTGCTATCGAGGCACCGCCTCCCCTGTTGAGTACATCCTCAGCAAGTCTTTCGGTTGTCAGTTAAAGAGCTTGACCGCCATTGTGTCGTGAAGGCGAAGGGAGATTGGGATAATTTCAAGACTAGCTTGCATGACCTCATCAGAGAAGGAAATGAGCTTTATGCAAGGACTGTAGGTAATTCACGCGTGCACCACCTTGACGATACTGAGTGTCATTTTTGAGCCTGCAATCAATACTGAATTGGCGAAAGGTAGAAAAAAAATCTTTGACATGGCTAGGATTCACTTACGGTGTGTTCCACAAACGCTCAGTGGTCTCAAGTGGGAGAGCAACGACCTAGCCAAGATTTATGAGCGCGAGCTGTTTCTCGTCGAAAATCGGAAATCCTGATGACTTGCAACTTGGTCTTTGGCTCTGTATGGTCAGTCCACGAGTCGTTCTTCAATTAACTACGACTGAACGACGCTACGTTGCCGGGTTTCTCTGAGTGAAGAGATCGACGGGCACCGACAAAGTCCTGGCAAAAAAAACTATGCCACCTTTCGGGATGCCAACCTTGGGCCATGATGGGCGCTGATTGTGGGATCCGGGCGCTTGTCCGAGTCAGTATCGTCGTCCCAGCCCAGCATAATGCAACTTGAACAGGTGGTGAATCGAGGAATTAGTCATTTAGACTTGGCTTTCTCGAGTACTTGTCACAGATCCGCGAAAGAATTGAAGTTGATAGGCTTGTCCGATGTAAAAGTTTTAGGGCCAGGACCCATCAATAGAAATCGGGAATTGGCCGCCATCATTGGGTGCATCATTTGGGGTCATAGACTATGCCATGTGCCACATCAGTTCCTTCGTACGTGGCACTGCCAGGGTGTATCATACGTACTACTGCGTCTTCCTTCGATCAAAACACTGTAAAGTACTAGTCCAAAGGTTGCTGACATGATGCTGACCACGTGGAGTGTATTTATTTATTTATTTTCACTTCCGAAACGGACGAATCATTTATTTAACCTTGTTTCTATAAACAGTTCAGGCTGCACGCTTTCCTGTCTGCAGCTGATAGAAACATCTGCGGTCGGTGTATTGTTTGATAGGAACGACTCAATTGTGCGGTCCGAGTCGGGATTCTGAAGACATTCAAGCTCAAGTTGCGCTCTTAACACGTTGTAGGTCATTACGTGCCCACACCACTAGTAGTCACGCTCCAGCACTCGATCAGATACCCTGGCCAACTTATTTTTTTATAAGTCTTCTGTGTTATATATACTTCGAATACCCCCCTAACATCCTCCTGTCCACATTTCCGAGTGGTAGAGTCATGGCTACTAAGCCGGAGTGTCCTCCTCTCGATGGCTCACTCCTTTTTCCGGATATCATTGACTTTCACATGGTAGGAATGCATCTCTTCCAATATACGTCTTTCCAGATGAACAAACCGGCGCATTGACTTCCATTTCCTATCGCGAGTTCGGTAGAGCTACTCATCGAATAGCCCATGCACTCCGACCCAGTCGTACTGGAGTTGAAGGCGAGGTAACCGCAATAGTTGTTCACACAGACACCCTCCTGTATACAACTTTAATAGCCGGTCTGATGATTGCAGGGATCGTGGTGAGCACCCATGCTTTTTACTTTACCGCTGTTTCATTTTATTTTGCCCAGCCGTTTCCTATGTCTCCTCGCAACCCACCGCAGGTCATAGTAGATTTACTTCTCCGGACATGTTGCCGTCGTATAGCATCCATCACCCCGAACCACGCCGCTCTCCTTGATGATGTCCAGCGCCTTATGGGGAATAGTGGCACCACTCTGACAATCATCGAGATACCCCCCATATCAGAAGTTTACCCTCATTTGGGCAACGAATCTCTTGTCCATCCCTTTGTGCCATACCCTAAACGCTCCACAATTACACGGATAACCGAGACAATCTTGTACATGCATTCTTCTGGAAGCACCGGCTTTCCTAAACCTATCGCCCAAAACCACAGGGGCCAACTGAGCTGGATGAACGCCCGTGCGGCCGTTTTTGTTTCCATTTTTGATAAAAAAAACTAACGTGATGCAGCTCTGTTATGGCAATACCGGAACTACCCATCGGTCCGTCTTGGCGTAATGGCCCTTCCCCCGTTTCACATATTTGGTGTGGCCGCACAGCTGTATGCAATGCTTATCGGTGTTACAGCAAGCCTTGTACGCGCCTACGTCCGTGGGAGATCGGCGGACTCTTCCTACCATTCCGACATCGGACAACATAATTGAATGCATCAGTCAGACCGGGACTAATATCGTCCTTTGCGTTCCATATCATCTCGAACAGTGGGCCGATTCGGAAGAAGCACTAAACACGCTACGAAATACCGGATATGTTGTACGTTATACCTTGGTGTTACTTTGATCTTGAATCCCACGTGACTTCGCAGGTATATGGAGGTGGCCCTCTCTCAGAAAAGAAAGGAGAATTTCTTGCCGCCGCCGGAATACCGCTTGCACAGCTTTACGGTGCGACAGAGTGTGGTCCGGTCTCCATTCTTCCTCCCCGAGACTCAGTTGTCAATGGCAACCCATACTGGCAGTGGGTCGAGTTCTCTGATACAGTCAATATTCGCTGGGCTCCTCATGACCTTGATTTATACGAATGCCAAGTATTGGTATGTAGCGAGGCACAGTCAAAATTATGCGTTAGATCAGCGTCTTCACAGCGATCAGACAAACTCCAACCAAACGTTGAAAACCTTCCCGATGTGCAAGGCTATGCCACTAACGACCTTTTTGTCAGACACCTCAACCCAGAAACAGTTATGGAAAATGTACGCCTTTTTTGTTGACTTCGTTGCAGACCTAAAGCGGCCTCAGCGTCAGTCGAGCGGACGATGTGATCGTTTTATCCTCCGGGGAAAAGGCTGTCCCATCGCAGATGGAGACAATCATCGGTTGTTGTCCATACGTAAATGGTGCCGTTATGTTCGGACGTGAGCGAAACCAAGTTGGAGTTTTGATCGAACCTACCGTGGATCATTTCATTGATGTGGATAATGAGGAACAAGTTGCCCAGTTTCGAAACCAAGTATGGTGAGCGTATTTCTCTTTGTGAGTCAAGATTTTGGATTGACAGATTTCTTTAGGCCATATGTGGAAGACGCCAATGCATCTGTGCCGACTTACAGTTGTATCTTCAAGGAAATGATTCTTGTTGCTCGTCGCGACAAGCCTGTGTCTCGGACTATGAAAGGCACTATCGAAAGAAAGGCGGCGCTCCAAGTATACGAGCAAGACATCAATGCACTGTTAGTGTCCGCATATCATTAATTGGCCTGGCACTTGCTCAAGCGTCTTGTATAATCAGTTATGACGTCGTCGGACTCAGCCACGAAGTTGGCGACAATACCTTACCATCACAATGGACAGAGAACGGGCTAGCCTCCTGGCTGTTATCGCAGGCCACGAATGTTAGGACGGATCTAAAACCAACTGTAGATTTATTCGCGCAGGGCTTTGACAGGTATGAGCTTTGTTTAATTGGTGGACGTTGTCACTGAATTGTTCCCCAGCTTGAGTGCCACGTACCTTAGGAATCGGCTCATCAGCGCCCTGAAGAGATCATGTGAAGTAAGAATTCAGAGCATTTCCTGCCTCATCACCCAAAACATCATCTTTGAGAACCCCACTATTCATTCACTAGCACGGAAGGTTGCCGCCCTTATTGCATGCGCGGATGGGACTTCGGAGTCTGTACAAAACTCGCACGTCCATGCAATCGGGGCTATGATCGAAAAATACTCAACCGGATTTCTGAAGCTTGACCCTGACTCGATGGAGAGACCTGCAAAGCGAGCCAGGCTTGATGGCGGGCGTGTTGTGCTCCTCACTGGATCCACCGGGACACTGGGATCCTATATACTTGCCGATCTTCTCGGACGGCCAGAGGTCTCGACGGTCTATGTTCTCAATCGATTTTCAGCAGCTTCAGGAACATACAGCAGTATGCGTCAGCTGAAAGCATTCGAGGAAAGAGGGTTAAATACACAACTCCTAACCTCATCGAGGAAGGTCCTTTATCTTGAGGGAGACGTCTCTCAGGACAGATTAGGTTTGACACCTCCTACTTACGAACGGGTTTGTACTCTTTTCCCTGCTCAGCTCATCGCTGACATGACTCCTGAAGCTCAAATATTCCGTGAACATGATCATTCACAATGCGTGGCGCGTCGACTTCAATTTGGCCCTTTCCTCGTTTGAACCTAATATCCGGGGCACGCGGATGCTTCTCGATCTCGCGCTCGCTTCTCCGCATGCCGCTTCTTTGCGGTTCATATTCGTTTCGTCTATCGCATCCGCATTAGGTTGGGTTCCAAGTCAGGGTCCCGTCCCAGAGGAACTTCTCGGTGATCCCTCTATGGCAATAGGTTCTGGGTACGGAGAATCGAAGCACGTTGCCGAACAGGTAACTTCACCTTATCTGAGTAAAAACCAGTGACTCACCACTCCCTAGATCATTGCCCGATCTGATCTGCAAGCTACATCTCTCCGAGTAGGACAGATTGCTGGTGGACCTACTGGGGTTTGGGCGACGACTGATTGGGTTCCCATCCTGGTCAAGTCAAGCTTGGCGCTCGGTTCGCTTCTTGACCTTCCAGGGGTGAATCTTCTCTCGCGCGACGCTAGTTTGGTTTACAAACCCTTGAATTTAGGTCGTGTCATGGACACCCGCGGACCGCGTTGCAGCAGCAGCTCTTGACGTTGCCTTGTCTGAGACGCATGTTCCACTTGTCAACTTCACCCATCCAAGGCCTGTTCCATGGCGGACCATCTTTGAGGGTGTGAGAGATGCGCTTGTAGCTTCTGGCCAAACAAAACATCCGCTGCCACTGGAGCCCTATTCAGGGTGGATGCAAAAACTGGAACGACGTGCCCACGGCGCGAAAGAGCGCGATTTCAAAGAGGTCGTAAGTCGAACCTTGATTGGTGGATGGAGATTATCGACTGATTTTACCGTCTTTGTAGCCGGCGCTCAAAATTCTTCCTTTCCTCCGAGGTTTCTTGCAGTCCCAGAATGCTGAACCTATATCTGGTGATGGGGAGGCAGGTAACGGCCTGCAGTTCGTGACGGACAGTGCTTGTTCGCTTAGCAATACGATGCATAATCTCTCTACACTGGAGTCCGAATGGCTTGGACCAAGCCATGCGCGGGCGTGGGTGAAGGACTGGAATAGCAAGGGTTTTTTTCAATAACACGCAAAGGTCAGTAGTGCACATTATCTGCTTGCTGTACTCACTGTCGTGTAATAGATAACCTGTATGAGTGTTCTCGATGACGTTCTGGAATACCATACGTATTTGTTATGACTCTACTAACCCGACCCCGCATAAAGTCCGTTGTTATCCGTCCAATCGCCAAGTGTATCCATGCAATCATCAAATGTATCCATGCAATCGCCAAATGTATTCATGTAAGCGCACATGTATGAATAGTTTACTAGAGGTCCATTGTGTCCTTCATAATGTATCCATCTATCCACCCATCCACCCACCCACCGTCAGTACAAGTTATAGTCATAGTGTTACATCGATATTCGCAATACCACATTGTATAACCGGTCTTCGCTCAACTTCTGGGACGGAACATGGCGAATGTGCACACAGGCGAGCTTTGAGTGGTGTTTTCTTGGACTTCTCGTCAGCTGCAGGTGATTGTCGATCAGCGGGAGGGAGCGCGGGCACTCGAGGGACTTCTAGAGTCGGAGCATGTGGATTTGGGAGATCTAACGTTTGGAGACCTTTAAGCGCATTAAGGCCAGCCGGCGGACGGTGCCACTCAGTGGCTGAATCAGCATGAGGATTTGAGCTAGACGACGGTCCCAAACTAGAAGGTGTCAATGAAGGATACCTCGTCGCTCGGCTGCTCGAGGGGGATAATGTCGATGCGCTGGAACCACTTTTCCCGAATGTGTTGGAGGAGGAAAGGAGGGGTAACGAAGCGCATTCGGGGGCTCTTGGGGATGCGTTGTGAGAGAGTGCGACTGAGACGGAAGATGATCTTTCGAGTTCTGAGAAGGTGCGGGATGGCTTTTTCTCTATTTCTGAGCTCGTCGAGACGTCATGGGAGGGAGGCCCACTCATTGATGTCGAATTTTCCCTAACAGGGCTCAGCTCTGATATTTTCAGTGTTCTTGAATATCTCTGGGATGGTCTGCCCCTCCTTGATGACTGGGATGGTAGCTGGGGTTCTGGAGGATGGGAGGGATGTTGTGCGGATTCTTGTGAATAAATGGATTCGGGGCTGATGGATTCGGGGCTGTTAGCGTCGGCTTCACCGCCTGCTGTCCGGGGTTGAGGTACCCCCTCTCGCGATTTTTTCAGGTGCTGGCATACTCGGGTAGTGGACCGAGAACCGATATCCGCGGCTTGGGTGGAGGCGGAGGCGCGTCTGCGAACAAATGAAGAGTGTCACTTCCAGTTCGAGATGATATAGATTGGGGAAGATCTGCCGACGAAAACGGGGACGTGCTTGCCCGACCTGAGAAAAAGTCCGGACCCGAGTGTCGGGCCAGACTGCGATTGATGAAAAGCGGGGCATTTGACCCAGAATTATTGGCTGTGTGTCTGGAGTACTGTTCAAGCGGTACCTCATGCGACACCCTGCGCGCAGACACTGCCGTGTGATGTGGAGCAGTTGTAGGGAGTATTGCCCTCTGGATGCGGGCAAACGGGTCGTCGGTGTCATAGAGACTGTGATAGCTGTGGTCCGTTATTGGGTTGGGCAGGACGGGAGGGAAGTAAGACCAGTCTAGTGGTATTTGCGGGGGTGAGAGTGCCGGGATATCCTGTGATGTCTGCGGCGGGGAAGGTAGAAGGAGAGGCTCAAGAGATACAGATGGTTGTTGCCCGTGACCGTACCGTCCGTGTCGATCATGGACACTAAAGCTAGATCCCCCCGACACAAATTCTTCCTCAGCATCTACTGCCCTCCCTCCCCTACGAAGCTTCGTGAAACTTTCCTCCACTTCTCCTCCAACGCCGCAAAAAGAAGCATGCAGTTGCTACCACTGCTGCGCCTCCTACAACTCCAACGGCTATTCCTACAATAGTTTCGGTGGACAATGTGGAGCCTGCATCTGAATCGGTAGAGGATGTCATAGTGGACTGAGTATTTTGTTAACGAAGGCAATCCAGTCAATGCGATAGATGCCAGCTAGACCTTTATTAAACACTAAACCCGCAGACGGTGAAATTACACCGGTATTACACGCTTATATGATGGGCTTCGCGGGCGCTCACTGTAAGTGACGACACTAGGACGAGCTGTGCCACAGCCTCGGTCCATAGAGGTAAATTTAGTGTAATGCGTGCCTTCAAGAGCCTAATAACAGTATAGCTGTGCGATAAAAATTACCATAGGCCAGTTCTTCATGTCCAACATCTACTAGTAGGATACTGTAGGAAGCACCCGATATGTCGACCTTACACGCTTCTAACATAATCAAGGGTCGACCATCCAAAAAGCACTTCATCTGGATTCTGCAGGCCGGCACATCCGAACGATGGGCATCTTGAGCCCTGCTATCGGTTGAAAGCTGGTGTAAAGTGGATGTCCGGGCGCGTATTCAATTTGCAGGAACGTTAATGCTCCGATCATCATGGATGGTTCTTGAGCCAGTGCTCAACTACCCTTGGTATTGGACACGCTGTCGATATGCTTTCTTGGTTTGAACCTTTGACACGTTCTGTGCCATTATTCTCTGCGCGATCCTGATACAGCTTGGAGCAACATTGATAGAGCCTTTTAAGGTGTGCATCGCATCTCTCTGGAGAGTACGTGTGTGCAGAAAGGCATGTTTGAAGTGCACAAGCTTATTATATATTATTTAATTGAAACGAACCTGAAATCCTGCAGGAGCAGAACACGAAATAGTACAACACACCTTCAGCTTGGCAAGATTGCCCGGGTTCCTGGTGATAGACCATTCCATAGATTGGTGAGTTTCGATTGGATAAATTGAAAGCAACGGGTTTCACCTGTTTCATATCAAATGTAAGAAGGAAACCTAGTGGCGGCTTGCTGACCATTGGCTATGTATGTTCAAAACCAAATGACAACCGCTTGCAATTAAACGTGACGTTTTTGTGACGTTTGGTCACAGCCTCCTCGTCACGGTCACGGTCACGGTTACGGTTATTGCTTCCGGCGCAACATCTGATCCCGCTTCCCGAGACCCCCGCTGCGGTCACCCACACTAGCCTTTAGGGTACTGTACGTATACAATTAATGTCTGGATAATATCAATCTGGTTAAGTTGCACTCGCCTGCTCTAAGCGGGATCGAGAGCTTTGACGTAGACGATAAAAAATATTGACGTGGTGTTCTCCGTGTGGTCCACGTCTAAGTATATTGTGATAGCTATCCTAGGCTCATCGATTGCAATAACTGTCCTCGAGGATTAATTCGATGATAACGTCATTCGAAGGCGGTGCTTTTTCTCACGGTAGGTGTCGATAATAATGAAATAATCGGATATTCAAGGACCTTCAAGGACCCACTCTTGTCTACAATCTCATAACGCACTCTTTGTATATTTTCACGCCGGCCGACCTTGAAGGAGTTTTATTGAACTGAAGCTTTCAAGAACCTTTCTTTGGTTCGGATGTTCATTATATGCAGGGATCAACCAATTCTGACAACTAATGTGAACATAGGAACGCGATCTTTGTTATTATCATCAGGGTCGGGTGCCACAACCCCAACTTTTTATCTGTCTTTATACAGGACTGTAGGTGAAACGGCATAGCAACACGGGACCATTCAGGTGAACTCATTCAGGGGGATCCATAAGAGTCGCCACTAGCACGCAGATCCAGCACGTCAGCCGCATGCCCATCCTTTTTTGTTTAAATAACTCGATCTCCTGCATTTTCCAACGTACCATTTCTCTATCTTTCCATCATGCCAAAGCGTATTCCTACCCCTCCTCCTGGAGACGATGAACCTCGATATCTCACTGTCGTTCATCCGTACGTCCTCGACGGGCATTGCAACATGGAGTTGCCCAAGGATAGACAAGATTTTGCGCGTTGGGTGGCGTGCTGCATCGATGCTAAGCACTTTTATGCGTTTTTTCCACAAGCCCAGTGTAAGTAGTGTCCTCTGTGAAGTGTATATGGTTAACATGTGTATACCCCACTGTGGCGCATCAATCAGGCACGCGACATGGTTATCATCGAAATAGCTCGCGAGTGCCCCCAGCTTGATCGCTTACTCGGCGAGCATCGTTGGAGGGAGTTCCTGAAGAAGTCGTCCAAACAAGAGCAGGATCAAGTCACAAAGGTTTTTTATTGCACTTATAGCACTGGAAGACAAGTGCAGAAGAACGGTGAGTCGAACAGTTCAATCCATTAAATTCTGCCGCCCGGACGAGCTTGATCGGTTTTGAATCTTGATTGCCTTCTATGAACGGATCAAGTGACTGATACCATATCGGATTTCTCTCGTAGGCTGGAAGCGTATATATGTCGAAGACGCTTGGTTTAAAACGTGGTCGCCGAACAATCCAGTAAGTCCCCCATCCTTCATGACTTAACTGTGTAAGTTGCATAACCTGACGTACCACGCCATTCTTCCAGTCTCATCACTTTCCCTTACCCTGAAACCCATTTTTGTGAAGTGCCGATTGAGGATCAGACCAATCATCCCATGTGCAGGCCCCTTCCGGGCGCTGTAAAACCCCCTCCCCCTGAGACCCTGACTGCCCCTGCACCAGGTAAGCGCGGATTCTTTTGCCTCCTGCCCTGTTTCCGGTCTAATTTATCAATATCCTTGCTACAGTCGTCGGTTCCCAACAATGGATCACCGACAAACGGCTACCTGCTCCCATCGCGAGGGCAGGGGCGTGGGCCAAAGGAACTCCCAAACTTACAGCACCAGTCGGCAATGCATGGAAGGCTGCTATCGCTACTTCCTCTCCGGCCATCCCTGGGCTCAAGAAGCAGCCCGCAGTTGGCGGCGGACCCATCGCAGTGAAAGCATCTGATGTTTGTATGTCATCCACTTTTTTCCTTCTGAAGTACTATCGATGCTAAGTGCTTCCTTTGTTTCACAATAAGGGGTCGGCCTTTCTACGTCCTCTGGACTTGGACCAAACGGGTGGTCAGACTCCCCCACTGGATCTGGAATGAACACTCCCTCCAGCGGAGCCCCCTCTCCTTTACCTAGAACATTATCGAATCAATCTCCCACCGTCCCTCCCGGTCTGAGTGGTCCAAAAGCCTGGAGTGCTGGAACGTCCTACCCTACTCATCCTCCCGGAATTCCGGCAGTACCAAATGCATGGGGCGCTCCTCGCATCGAGACGGCCCCTGGCCTCGATCGCGACAACACAAGTGTCGCTAGCTGGAGCTCTAACGGAGGGTCCTCCAATGCCAGCACCTGATATCGTACTCACTCCTGAGGACGATCCGTACAAAGTTCAAGTCCAAATTTCGGAAAGCATGGAACGAGCGCTGGACGGGCTGTCGGTCCATGATGATATAGGATCCCAATCTCGCTGAGCTGGACTCAATCGCACCCGGGAACTGGGATGAGCCCACGAGTACTCAAGTTTGGTCGGAACATCCCATTGCCGACGGAGCTACTTGGGACGATACTCCTGCAGACGCCGAGACGCAGTGGAGAGAGCTGAATGACGACAAGGAGCAGGAGAAGCCGATCGTATGCAACGCCCATGGAATTATCTGCAAGAAGGGAATCTGCAGGGAGTACGCGAAGCAGGTTCGTGATGCGGAGAGGGCACAGAAAGATGGCAAGTTCGAATAACAAGAAGGGTAAGGGCAGAGGCAGAGGCAAGGGGTATGGCAGAGGCGGTGGAGAAGGAGGGGGAGGCACCGATCGTGGAGGAGCTCCCAACAACGCTTTCCGAGGTCGCGGCGCTCCCTGTGAAGTCAACCTGGCGAAGCGCTCCTAGGGCCATCGTATCCGCTGATGCTATTGAGCGCCGGGAAAGCAACGAAGCGGAATCTGTCGCAGTTGAAACTCCGACTACATGGGGCAATACTGCCTCGTGGAATGCGGACGAAGATGCACCTGAGGAGGAGGCGGAGCCTGCGGGCAATGACGCGCCTGAGCCGTCTGATGACGGTTGGGGCAAATCTGTGGCTAGCTTTGATCCTTGGCTTAGCGTCCCTGCGGAGCCCGAGCCTCAGCAGAGGCCCCCGCCCCAGTCCCAGCAAAGGCCGAAATTTCAGACCCAGCAGAGGTCCAAGCCCCAGTGGACGCCTCAGCCTCAGGCCCAATCTCAGTCGCAGTGGAGGCCCCAGCAGAGGCCCCCCAGGCCCCCCCAGCAGAGGTTCCAACCCCAGCAGAAAACCCAGCCGAACACCAACCCCAATAACGCCTGGACCAATCGGAAGGCTCCCACCTTCCTGGGCAGATCAGGTGGACGCCCATAGCGCTGCTGGATACCCTGAGGATGATGGGTTCTCTACCGTCGGTAGCAAGCGTGGTGGGCGGGCCCGGGCGAAGGCCCCCAAGAGCTCTACCACTGGGTGGGGCACTGTCGACGAGCAGCCCTGGTGAGTGTATTGAGCGAATAGAATTGCAGGGTCGTGCCGCCTCTGTATTTTTTTTTTGTATTTTTATCCGAACCTCTATCCTTGCCATTCATTGCGCGATATGTACCATATGTACCATACCCTGATCGATTTTCATACCTATGCACTACAGAATTACCTTTCGTTTTACCTACTGTCCAACCAGCGCCGCTAGTGCGATCATTGTCACGTAATTTTATCGAATTGCATACTTTACGATCGTTTTGTGAAATGCATGTTGTACTTTCGCGACTTGTTTTATGATCGGCGGTTATTCCATGATGAGTCTTGCGGCATGACATGCTTGTCCAAAGCAGAGAAGTTCAGGCAATTGCAAAGAGTTCAAGAACCATATCAGGCAGTTCCCGATCTCCTAAGACTGAGAATTCTGCTAGAAAACGACGAACATCCTCATAAAAGTGGTACTTACACTTTGCCACGGCAGGAATGCGAACAAGTCCAAAGCCGATCGGTGTGTACCCAACGTATCATGCTCGAGCCAGATGTCAACAGCGCGATCATAGCGAGCATGAGCGATATAAAGAGCAGACACTGAGGAGCGGGTGATGTATAGTCAAAGTATGGCACAGGAGAGCCGGTAGTGACGAAAACACCACTTATAGCGAGGAGGACGCCCGCATTTGCGAAAGTATGTCAGCGCCGGATTCAGCTCGCGCGGAGTGGGACGGCTTATTGTGGTGATAGTGCTGGCCAGGATAGAGCATAACCTAGTTCTAACGGTTTCGAATGCTTGCTCTGATTGGAGGGACTTCCAATGATCTTCAAGATCTGAGCGTCCAAGCGCCAAAAAACAGAGTACCCTCGTCAAGAGGGACGTGCGACGAAGGGCCTCGGGGAGGGGTTGTTCTTCATCAAGTGGTCCTGGGTCAGCAGTCACATGTAACTTGAAAAGTAAGCGTAGTTCAGCGATACAGCAAAGATTTATGAGTTGTGAAGGCACACCTCAGTGGAATGGAGTGAAGCCATGGTGTCAAATGAGAGATGGATTAATGCTCATACTGAGAACTGGGAGATACAACACGAGCATTTGTGCTTAAGCAGAACCACAAATCATACACAAGTGACAATTTACATTAATTGCCTTTTATGAGACGTGGATTGTGGTTATTTTTACGCGTAAGCATAAATGCTGTTTAAACCGGGGGTCGACACGCCGACACTGTAGGGTCGACCTACACGGCGTGTTGGTCGGCTGTTTAAACCGGAGTCGACCAACATGCTGTTATTAAGGATTTTATTTTGGGTTAGTTTAAACCGGGGTCGACACGCCGACACTGGTAGGCGGTGGCTGGGTGGTCAGATAGACTGCACTTTTCGTTAAAATGAGCCCTGCCTACACGATAAAATGTGTAAACTTGTACGTTAACTTGAAATTCCAAGCAAACACTAACCGCAACATTTGACGCATTAAGCTTATCACAACCCATTTTTCAATGTTTCTCCCACTCTTCCTCGTCATTCTTGGAAACCCAACAGTGAACACCGAGGGATGGACGAGTATATTGACGTACTTATTGGCGTTATGTAATGAAATGCGTGCGCACCATGGGGTGTTCTGGTGTGCAACGCACAATGTCGATATCCCAGACATCGCCGCTGACCTATTGACTTTCTGGATCACCTGAGGCCCGGGACCGCTTCATGTTGGAGGTTATCCTACACATGTTTTTTGTGTTTGTGAAAACTGAATGGTAGATTCGCTAAGGGAGGATGTGGGTTATCATTTCCACGTGATACTGTACATAGACGCCAGACAGCAACGTTGACGCCCAGATCATGACCCACATTGCGCAAGCATTGAATGTGACACGCACGAGTCATTAACTCAGTGACAGGTAGGCCACTCATCCGTTCTCGCTCAAGCCAGGCTCACTTCCGGCGAGGCATGCCAAACGAGCAATGCAACAACAGAGTATCTGCCTCTGCAGAACATCAAGAGCTTGGTACTAAAGACAACAGGCAGTCACCTAGCTCACCTCGAGATATATATCTATATAGGTCGTTAGGATTGTCATAAGTCACGATCCTATAAATTCGCCTAGGCTTGCTAGCGGATGGAGTGAAAAGGATGTCTCCATTTCTGAAAGCGTTACGAACTACGAATGAACTTCAGGATTGTGGATGGGCGATACTTGGAAGGCAGAGGGACGTAGACTATAGGAAATGCGATTATGTAAATCCTTGGATTTGATAATAGCGGGGAGGGATCGATCCTATATCACACAAGCTGTCACCTCTGGTCGTTGCATATTATTTTGAGTGAAACTGCATTCATTACAAAAGAAAGCACTCACGGTATTGGCGTTTGTTGACGAAAGTAAACAGCGTGTATATCCACGAGTAACATATAGTTGACCATGGTCTATTCTGGGATCCAGAGTGATGCTTGACTCCTGAAAAAGTCAATTCTTGGATTCACTGCTGAACCAATTACAGCGCGAGCATGGGTGAGATAAATGCCATCCTCAACGCTTGAAGCTGTGTTAATTCCGTAAAAATCGATGGCGACTCCGGCCAAGCCACCATCAGGTAAAGTAATGTAACCGTCATATTTCCATTGCTGTGATATTATTGATACCTGAACACATTCTGAACGCCGACCAACTCCGAGTCGACGGGGAAGGTACTGGAAGGTGCAGGTTGTAATAGATATGTGCTGCTGATTGTGGTCCAGGAGACAAGGTTGGAGATAAACTTGAAGCTGAAAAGAGGGAGTGATTAAGAGCACGCTTTAGTGTTGCACAGCATGACGCAGTAGGGCAGGATGCTCTCATGAGCGCAAGCAAAATTCAAACGGATTACAGCACAAGATGACGGAGTGGACGTGACACCATTCAAACACCGAGTCACGTGCTTATGATTACCTTGTGAAATGCATGTTGTTGTACTTTCGCGACCTTGTTTTATGATCGGTACTTATTCAATAACATTCATGCATCTCAATCTTTTTGAAAGCACTCTGCTCTTCTGAGGCCTTGTGCGACCTTAAATCCGGTTTCCTTGGCTCTGTTGTTTTCATGCATCACACCATGATCTCGTAAAGAAGTTCTCAACACGGAACAAACACTTGATAGTATTTTATATGCAGCCGATGTCCACCAACAGTCGGTTTCATTCACAGCACCATGGGTAACGGTCCCTCTATATCTGTGCGCACGCCGCAAGAGCATCTGGAGCACATGTGGAGAAATCCTAGTCCACTCGCACATTCCTGTCCACCCGGGTGCGTGAACTCTATGTATATCCTCGCTTGGTATTGATTGCTGAGCCATCATGATGGGCCAACAGACATGTCCGCGTATATCTTCTTCCAGAATGGACTCGGGGCAAAAACCCGATGAAAGAGCCATGGGCCGCACTTAAAACTGACTTTGCGCTCGGACCTATGGGTGAGTTGGATTTGAAGAAAGTGAAAGGTAAATGGGCCCTGGAACGGTGTTCGGTGCGTGCTACCTACACAGTGCTCTGTCTAATAGGATATTGATCGACGTGATAGGCGATCGATCTGGAGAGAATGCAGCCGTTTGAGGAGCAGTATAAAGGGAGATTGTCGCTGCTTGCTTTAAAAGTGTTGGCTGATTCGAAGGGTATTGTTTGGATGTATGGTGAGTTCGTGATGTTCTTGAAAAAAAAGTATTGCCTGTGTTTGTCTCGCAAGGGAGATTTTTGTTTCGCGTATGCCCTTCCGAGGCGTACCTTCTGATGGATCTAATGGAGTTTCATGCCAAATGCTTATCATTCGTGTTTCAATGCAGAACCGACGCCCTCTGAAGACACCACGTCCATGCGCGCAGACCGTCTACGTATTGTGCGGCAGTACGATGCCGCAGTTGAATACATTTTGGAAGCGACGCTAGGTCGCATCTCAAAACTACTCGATAACGGTGTAGTGGGACAAAGCGTGTCTCATTACTACCCCGAATACTCTGGTGTTGACCCAGGCCTTCCCGACGTGCCGCAGGAGGCCCACAGCGAGGAAGCATCGGTCAAGGAGAACGTTGGGGAGGCCGAATGTGACAAAACTAGCGCAGCTCTATATCAACAGCAACGACAACTTATATTCTTTGCGGTGCTTTTGTTCTTATTTTTCTCTGGCGCGCTGGGTCGATATGCTCAATTCGGGAGGGATCTTGCGTTTGGGTGGTGAGCATTTGATTGACAATCTTTCTACTGATGACTATGCCTATATGCCCTTCCTCATGTTCACCATGCCGTTTGCACATGCTTTCATACTCCGTGATTTCCTACCACCGCATACTTAATTGGTCCACTTGTAGTTTTTAAACAATCAACTATGCACAATGTTTTTTTCTTGACAACAGTCGCAAGCCAGGCGCTGAACTCGTCTCCTGGAAAATACCGCATGACCAGGCAAGCAGCCTCGTGTCATGGGCGTGGAAACACGAGAAGCACATTTGAAGCAGCGTTCATGGTGAATGTGTATTGTAACTAAATTTAGATGTCAGAGCGGTTTCCCGAAGAATGTGCCTTGAGGAGAAATATCCACAGGAACAGATACACGTACTATTAGTAATAGTACTAAAGTATATATGTGCTGTGTTGTCCGGTCTATACCCCATTGGTTGTTCTCTAGACGCTGAGGTATGTTTCTGTCTTCGTGCACGTCCTCTCTCTCTTACGATAATCTGTCTCTAGTAACGTCCTTAGTAGGTAGTGCGAATGTGATAGCGGTTCTTATTCAGACACTGAGCAATATCTTTTAGCTGCTACTTTCAATATCGTCATTATTATCTTCTACCCAGAGGACCGGAGCCCACACCTCGACCGACGACGAGTCCCCAAACCACAAGGAGTCTCTTCAGATTCTGCATAAGATGGAGGATACGACGGGTATAGATGCACAGGCCCTTGGCGCCTTCCAACCGGGGACGAGAAACGCCCGAGAGAAGCTTCAATGGGCATCTACGCATGTCACGACTGTGCCGGAAGACATCGTGGACTCGTTGTCCCGCATCTTCGACGTCTACATACCTGCAATTCAGGGAGAGAATCCGCAACGTGCTCTCGGGCGGCTCCTCCAGGAGATCGTGGCTGAGTCAGGCGACATCTCTCTCCTCGACTGGGTCGGACGATCCTCCGAGTTCAATAGTTGTCTTCCAGTTGATATTGCGCCATACGCAGCTCCGCCACATGTCCTGCCATCTTTATCTGAAGATGAGATTCAGACAGCCGTCTCGTCGCTGCAAAATACTATGGTTGGGGAGTTGGCTGTGCGAATTTTTAGCTTGTTGGAGCACATGAGCGCTGCTCGCTTTGCGCACCGCAGACTGCAACTGCCTTGCATAGTCTTCCCTGTCACGGAAATCAGACGGCAGCGTGGTCCAGCCCAAGAGACCCCCTGCACGTATGAAGTCAAGGCGGACGGACTTCGGGACCTGCTTATCACCAGCGATCAGACACTGGTCCAATTCTCGCGGGCAAGGCCCACGAAACAGAAATTCTTGCTTGTCCGTCCGTGGGACAGATGTCTCCTCGAGCTGCCTGACTTCGCAGACGATGCGGACTCGGAAAGCTTGGGAGATTGGTCCGAACCTGAGTCTCCGTCATACCATCACCCTGTCAAAAAGGAACTAGCTGATTCAGAATCTCTCTCTCGAGCGTTAATGATGATCGTTCGCCTTGAACAACCTTTCAGTGCAATTTTGCTAGCACAACAGCACGGCGGAGAATACAAGAGGATCGCCTCAGATCACTATATCATTGCACAAGTCAAAGACGTGGCTTCTAGTCACAACATGGCATGCCTCAGGACAGTAGAAGTAGTGTAGTCGTATGTTTTGTCAAGACCAGAGATCTCTGAGCAGTTTTCATTCATGCATTGACGATATCTATGAATACGCAGATACTGTTGCTTATGATTGTGCTTGATTGTAGTACTTTGAATTTACTTATCCACCGATGGCATTGATGTATCATCCCGACGGACAACGACCAAGAATCTCTACCACCATCGTGTTTCCAGCAGGTGTCATTTGCGAAGAATCGTTTACAGCTACCAGGTTGCTACAGGGCTTGTGAATTCGCTCCGACTAGTCTGACGTCCGCGTAAGATCACTCAAATGCCAGCGAACCTAGTGGAACTACAAAGCACTGTGGTACGGTGTGCTCGGACTCCTTCGTAACTTGTAAGCTCTCTTTTGCATTATGACATCGATTTCTTTAGATCTCTCTGGGACAGGTAAGTAACATTATGCGCATCCAAAATGGACCATTGATATATTCAGGTGACAGCATCATCAACATCAAAGTCCCGTCTCCGAGCAATCCTATGCAGTAGTACCAGACAACACTTCAAGAACAGGACAGCCCCTCTGCTCATTAGTTAGAGTCGAGTCACCGCAATACCCTCTCCAAACATTTATAGCCCACGAACCCCCAGATCACTATGAAAGATCTTCTGGAACTGCGAGACGTGGCCAACGTCCACGAGCATGTCGCGTTGCCCAGGCTCGTCAATATAGGCTCGTCGCAGCTGAAGCCAGACCATAGCTTCAGCTGGTTGTTGAGCTAATAAGTTTTGCTTCCGTGAAGGGGAATGTCGCAAAAACAGTGACTGTGGCTGTGTGGTATATGAGCAAGCGTTTCTGGAGTCAGAAGATGAAAGACTTGCAAACCGAGCCTGATGAATTGCAGCTCTTTTTGCGCCCGTTGAGACCGAGCAATGTCCACCTATTGATCAAGCATCTCGAGCGTCAGCTGGAGCTCGACGAGAGGTTCAAGAGGCATCAACTGACACACGACCTCGAACTGTTCCTTGCTCGCGAGCGCTCTCAGTTATCATTAGCATCATGATCCAATACGAGACCGAGTAAATACGAGAAGTGGAGCATGCCACCCATCCGGTCAATTTCGTGCATGCGGTCAGCGAGACGAAGAGGTATGTCGAGACGAACTTGACTTTGTTGTCCATGGCCGCGAGCTGCTTAGCAACTTCAAATGCGACAATACCGCCACAATTGTAGAAGGCGATGGTACATGGCACTACCTGGGTCCTCTTGACTCCTGCAGTGTAGCAAGACACCATCTTGGTCATGGAGATGAAGAATGGGTGACCGGGCTCGAAACCACGAGCATGGAGTGTGTACGAAGGATGCTCGTTCCGGACATATTTTGCGAGATTGACGAGATTGAGAACCTCACCCAAACCAGGGTGAATGAAGTGTATTATTCCCAGTCAGCGGTAAGAACGATCACCTTGTAGAACAAGGAGTTGATGTAGTTGCTTGAGGATTTGAATGGTGGCAATTTCAAGCAGACCAAAGTGCGCCTCTCTCTGACGCTTCAGCCTGGAGATGATGTGTGAGCAGATGTCATTTATTGCGAGAATAAATATATTAACCTGATAGCATCAATAGAAGTGTCGCCGAGTTCGGATAGATTGTCACTCACGGATAAATTGCTCTCCGCAAGGTTGAAGATCCCTGCTATATCTTGGCAAGCGCCTTTCCCTCTCTGTGGATGAGCACATCGCGTTTCTGACAAGCTCCTCAGCGCAGGTGGTGTGCTTCGCCAGCACGCCTTGTTTGAAGAGGCTCAGGAGACACGTGTAAGGTATTTTTCCGAGAGCGGTTTTCTTCATCTGATCAACAGGGATGGGAAAGATACTAGAAACACTTTTAAATTACATCCTTGATGGGGAGGGCTCGAGAAGAGACTGATGAATATTTGGATGTCCCTGTTGGGACTCGGGAGTAGGTAGGTGACCGCGTTGTTGATACATGCTTGTGCGTTTAATGGTTCTCACGCTTTCAACGAGAGTCTCTTCAGGTCCTGCATAAGATGGAGGATGCGATGGGCATAGATGCACACGCCCTTGGTGCCTTCCAACCGGGGATGAGAAACGCCAGAGAGAAGCTTCAATGGGCGTCTACGCATGTCACGACTGTGCCGGAAGTCATCGTGGACTCGTTGTCCCGCATCTCCGGTGTATACATACCAACAATTCATGGAGAGAATCCGTTGAACGTGCGCTCGGGCGGCTCCTCCAGGAGATCGTGACTGAATTAGGCGACATCTCTCTCCTCGACTGGGTCGGACGATCCTCCGAGTTCAATAGTTGTCTTCCAGTTGATATCGCGCCATACGCATCTCCGCCACGCGTCCTGCCATCTTTATCTGAAGATGAGATTCAGGCAGCCGTCCCTTTGCTGCAAAAACCTGCGAAGGCAAAATTGCCCGCGCGATTTTTTACCCTGTTGGAGAACCTGAGCCCTGTTCGCTTTGCGCACCGTAGACTGCATCTGCCTTGCTTCGTCTTCCCTGTCACGGAAATCAGACGGCAGCGTGGTCCAACCCAAGAGACCCTCTACACGTATGAAGTCAAGGCAGACAGAGTTCGGGACCTGCTTATCACCAGCGATCAGACACTGGTCCAATTCTCGCGGGAAAGGCCCATGCGACAGACATTCTTGCTTGTCCGTCCGTGGGACAGACGTCTCCTCGAGCTGCCTGACTTCGCAGACGATGCGGACTTGGAAAGCTTGGGAGATTGGTCCAAACCTGAGTCTCCGTTATCGCATCAAGATTATCTTGTCGAAAAGAAAAAATTGGCTGATTCAGAATCTCTTTCACAAGCGTTAAGAATGATCGTTCGCCTTGGACAGCCGTTCAGTGCAATTTTACTAGCACATCAGCGCGGCACAGAATTCAAGAGGATCGCCTCGGATCACAATATTACTGTATAAGTCATTGACCCCATGGTCCTTGGGATGGATAGAGTCAGGACGCTAGAAATATTATAGTTGTATGTTTTTTTTAAAGACTAGAGCTTTCTGAGTAGTTTTTCATTCATGCATTGACGATATCTATGCATACGCTGTTTGTACGCCCTTGTACTATTCGCACGGAGATTATCTTGTCAAAGAGAAACTGGCTGATTCAGAATCTCTCTCGAGCATTATGATTGATCATGCGCCTTGGACAGCCGTTCAGTGCAATTTTTCTAGCACAGCAGCGCTGCGGAGAGTACAAGAGGATCGTCTCGGATCACGATATTATTGTACAATTCAAAGACAAGGCTTCTGTTATCAATCTGACGAATATCAGGACGTTAGAGATATTGTGCTTGTACATTTTTTCAACAGCAGTTGAATAGTTTTCATTCAATATCTATGCATACGTAGTGAGGGGAGTGTCTTTCCTGCTGCTAGTGTGAGGGGCAGCGCTTGAGCTTGATCCTTGCATGTGAATGGTTGTGCTGCAGCCAAGAAAACCGCCGAGAGGTCTCTGGCAGTCAGATATATAAGGCTACAATATTTCCAGGGTCCTGATGTCCATCATGGTATGGACAGAATATATGTCTTTGACTTCTGCAGTTATATCGTAATCTGATGCGATCCTCTTGTATTCTCCGCCACGCTGCTGCGCTAGCAAAAATGCGCCGAACGGCTGTCCAAGGCGAACGATCAATCTCAATGCACGTGAGCAAGATTCCGAATCAGCGAACTCTTCTTCCCCAGGTGAATCGTCGACGGACTCGTCAGAGTCATCAAGCAAAGACTCGAGCTGATGACAATCTCTCAAGCGTTCCGCATCGTCCGCGATGTCAGGCAGCTCAAGGAGACGACGATCCCAAGGACGGACGAGTAAGAACGTCTGTCGAGTGGGCCTGAGCCGCGAGAATTGGATCAGATTCTCTTCGGTGGTGATCGATAGGTCATCAAGTCCGTCCGCCTTGACTCCATAAGTGTATGATGCCTCTTGGGCTGGACCAGACCTCCGTCTGACTGCCGTGACAGGAAATACGATGCATGGTAGACGGAGCCTGCAGTTCGCGAAGCGAGGAGCGCTCATATTGTCAAGCTGGTCATAAAGTTTCGAAACCTGATCCACGGTCGCAGTGTGTCGCAGCGAAGAGACCACCGTTTGAATATGATCTTCAGACAAATATGGGAGGGCGCGTGGCGGAGCTGCGTATGAGGATATGTGAGCCGGAAGACAACTATTGAACTCGGACGGTTGTCCGACCCAGTCAAGGGCGGTGGTGTCCCCCGACCGAGCCACGATCTCTTGCAGGAGACGCCCGAGCGCATTTTGCGCGTTTTTCGCCATAAAGGATAGGTAGTGCGATGCCGAATATGCCAAACAATGAGTACGCGATGTCTTCCGGCACAGTGGTGACACGCGTAGACATCCATTGAAGTTTCTGTCGAGCGTCTTTCATGCCAGGTTGGAAGGCGACGAGGACGCGTGTATCTATGCCCGTCGCATCTTCCAACTCATCCATGATCTTGACAGACTCCTTGTGGTTGTGGGAGTGGTCGTCGAGATATAGCGTCCAATCCTGTTGATAGAAGAGAATGGCTTTAGGAGCGAGGAATTCTGGGACGGTCCACCCTCGGGTGTTCCATTCACTCTTCGCCAACGCGCCAGACTTGGCCGAAGGCGGAACATCCGACAGGTAGACGACTGTGAGCGCTGAATGGTGATACCAGACAAACATGGAGTTGAGTGATTTTTGGAGCTCGACATGATTATTCTGGTCAATGCAACACGTGTCGACCCATGCCCAGTGATACCCTGCGTCACGAGCTAATTTGCAGAACGACTGCAATTTCACGAAACCGCCAGCCTTCTTCAACTTGTACACGGCATTGTCCTGGATGTCGTGAAGCAGCGGCTCGTTCTTTCCCCATCTATGAGATAACATGACATAACGAAAGTACGTTGCCACCGCGTCTGCGGTGCACTCCACTGGAAAGTCTGCATGCTTCATAATCGATAACAGAAGCTGTTTGTACTCTGTAGTCGTCTTGAAGGCGCTTATCTGTGCTTCTCGACCACACAAGAGCCCGGTGTTGGTGTTGAGCAGACGAAGCGGGGTGGCTCGGGTGTAAAGTTGAACGTCGATGGACTTTCGAATGATATCTTCTGCTTTGGATGGACTGATATACTTCTCGCGCAGCTCTGAGGAAAGAGTTGAGCATCTGGACACGCATCTTACTTAAGGCTTACTTCGTATTTGCATGCCACGAGCACTGTCCAATTTCGCAAGCATGATTTGGAAGGCCTCGATAGCTTCACTGTAGCGTTGTGCGCCATGAAGTGCTGCATGCTTCAACTGATATCCGACATGTGACGAAGGCTCGAGTTCAATGACCTGTGTATCACCACAGTGAGCATCGGCTAAAACAGCTGCCTGAGTCATCGTACCCTTTGCGCATCGAGAAGTGCATCCTCCCATAGAAAATTTTCCAACTTGGCCTTGCTGCGGTTTGCAACTATGGTGCCGCTTGCAGAATTCAGAATCGAAGAGAGCTGAATGGTGATGGTATTTGTGTTGATTTCGAGTACCTGTAGCACGAAGCACGCTCTAATAGTGTTTTCAGAGTTAAGAGATGGAAACATGCCTTTGAATCAGGAACTTGAGCCTTGACAGCAAGAAGATGCGGAATGAGATGTCGAAGGGGCGGGAAATCAACGGGAACATACCGTTGATGCTGGTTTCTCTGGGAAAGTACCCTTTGGCACTGCCCAATCTAAGATCATCTTATCCTGACATCCACTCAGGATGCGCTTGTTATCCATGGTGACACATGATGTCCACAATGCTGAGTGTTGGAAGGTGATGAAGGTTCGTCGATCTGAGAGCCGCCGGAATCCGAGTCCAACTTGGCTGTCAGAAAGTGTGGAAGTGAAGGGTGTGCCTGTAAGGTGATGAGAGATTTGCTTCCAGGTGGAGGTGGACTCAGATGTGTTCCACTCCATGCCATGATTGGGCGTCTGCGTGGGTGACAGTGTTGGACCCATATAAAGAGAGGTCACCGAAGAGGGCTGAATGGCGACAGGCTTTGCATTGATTAAGAGGATCTGTAGCACGAAGCATGCTCAAACTGTGAGTCTGTGATATCAGAGTTAAGGATTCGGAAACATGCCTCTGAATTAGAGACTTGAGCCTTGGCAGAAAAAAGACGCGAGATGAGATGACGAAGGAGCGGGAAGGCTTTTAGGGGTTGTCCGAATTGCTTCCGCCGAGTAGATGAATTCCACTCTGGTATGGCGGGATCTTCACTATCGACGACGTCCACTGAAAGAAGGCGTGTGATATATAGGGAACTTAAGGAAAACCATGTCATCGGTGAAGGAAAATGAAAAAAGGATGTTAATGCTCTGAATGGTTTGCGCGCGCAGGACTACATGGTCATTAGTGCTTAAGCTTTTTAAATGACTTAGTACTATAGGTTGTGCCGGGCAATTATCTATTACTAAGCAAGAGATACGTTCTACATAGAAACATATTCTTTCTGAAATGACTTCAGTACAGGCAGCGTTTATGACTAAGTAGGAGACACGTTCTATATAGAAACATATTCTTTCTGAAATGACCTCTTTACCGACCAGGAGAGCCTCGGAATTTCTGCATAGAATCTTACTCCGTAGCCATTTTACCGAGCAGGATACGTCGGAATTTCTGCATAGAATCCCACTCCGTTACTTCCGCTTCATTCTAGTAGCAAACGTTCTAGGTAGAATTATCCTTACATAAGCCTCGTGAACCTGTAGCGACGGAGTTAAATTTGACGAGAATATATGAGTCCGTGCTGGAACTGCACGCTATTGACTCCGAAATGGGTTGGAACTGCACGCTATTGACTCTGAATGGGTTGGAAACTGCACGCTATTGACTTCAGGACAGGAACATGTTAATGCTCTGAATGGTTGCGTGCGGAGTTTGGAGCCTGTAATTGGCCGACTGAAAGAAGGCGTGTGATATATAGGGAACTTAAGGAAAACCATGTCATCGGTGAAGGAAAATGAAAAAAGGATGTTAATGCTCTGAACGGTTGCGCGCGCAGGACCCTTCTTTCAGTGAATGGTTGCGTGCTCAGTGAATGGTTGCGTGCGGTGAAGGAAAATGAAAAAAGGATGTTAATGCTCTGAACGGTTGCGCGCGCAGGACCCTTCTTTCAGTGAATGGTTGCGTGCTCAGTGAATGGTTGCGTGCGGTGAAGGAAAATGAAAAAAGGATGTTAATGCTCTGAACGGTTTGCGCGCGCAGGACCCTTCTTTCAGTCAGCCAATTACAGGCTCCAAACTCCGCCGCACGCAACCATTCACTGAGCACGCAACCATTCACTGAAAGAAGGGTCCTGCGCGCGCAACCGTTCAGAGCATTAACATCCTTTTTTCATTTTCCTTCACCGCACGCAACCATTCACTGAGCACGCAACCATTCACTGAAAGAAGGGTCCTGCGCGCGCAACCGTTCAGAGCATTAACATCCTTTTTTCATTTTCCTTCACCGATGACATGGTTTTCCTTAAGTTCCCTATATATCACACGCCTTCTTTCAGTCGGCCAATTACAGGCTCCAAACTCCGCACGCAACCATTCAGAGCATTAACATGTTCCTGTTCCTGAAGTCAATAGCGTGCAGTTCCAACCCATTTCAGAGTCAATAGCGTGCAGTTCCAACCCATTTCGGAGTCAATAGCGTGCAGTTCCAGCAACGGATCCATATATTCTCGTCAAATTTAACTCCGTCGCTACAGGTTCACGAGGCTTATGTAAGGATAATTCTACCTAGAACGTTTGCTACTAGAATGAAGCGGAGTAACGGAGTGGGATTCTATGCAGAAATTCCGACGTATCCTGCTCGGTAAAATGGCTACGGAGTAAGATTCTATGCAGAAATTCCGAGGCTCTCCTGGTCGGTAAAGAGGTCATTTCAGAAAGAATATGTTTTCTATATAGAACGTGTCTCCTACTTAGTCATAAACGCTGCCTGTACTGAAGTCATTTCAGAAAGAATATGTTTCTATGTAGAACGTATCTCTTGCTTAGTAATAGATAATTGCCCGGCACAACCTATAGTACTAAGTCATTTAAAAAGCTTAAGCACTAATGACCATGTAGTCCTGCGCGCGCAACCATTCAGAGCATTAACATCCTTTTTTCATTTTCCTTCACCGATGACATGGTTTTCCTTAAGTTCCCTATATATCACACGCCTTCTTTCAGTGGACGGTCGTCGATAGTGAAGATCCCGCCATACCAGAGTGGAATTCATCTACTCGGCGGAAGCAATTCGGACAACCCCTAAAAGCCTTCCCGCTCCTTCGTCATCTCATCTCGCGTCTTTTTTCTGCCAAGGCTCAAGTCTCTAATTCAGAGGCATGTTTCCGAATCCTTAACTCTGATATCACAGACTCACAGTTTGAGCATGCTTCGTGCTACAGATCCTCTTAATCAATGCAAAGCCTGTCGCCCATTCAGCCCTCTTCGGTGACCTCTCTTTATATGGGTCCAACACTGTCACCCACGCAGACGCCCAATCATGGCATGGAGTGGAACACATCTGAGTCCACCTCCACCTGGAAGCAAATCTCTCATCACCTTACAGGCACACCCTTCACTTCCACACTTTCTGACAGCCAAGTTGGACTCGGATTCCGGCGGCTCTCAGATCGACGAACCTTCATCACCTTCCAACACTCAGCATTGTGGACATCATGTGTCACCATGGATAACAAGCGCATCCTGAGTGGATGTCAGGATAAGATGATCTTAGATTGGGCAGTGCCAAAGGGTACTTTCCCAGAGAAACCAGCATCAACGGTATGTTTCCCGTTGATTTCCCGCCCCTTCGACATCTCATTCCGCATCTTCTTGCTGTCAAGGCTCAAGTTCCTGATTCAAAGGCATGTTTCCATCTCTTAACTCTGAAAACACTATTAGAGCGTGCTTCGTGCTACAGGTACTCGAAATCAACACAAATACCATCACCATTCAGCTCTCTTCGATTCTGAATTCTGCAAGCGGCACCATAGTTGCAAACCGCAGCAAGGCCAAGTTGGAAAATTTTCTATGGGAGGATGCACTTCTCGATGCGCAAAGGGTACGATGACTCAGGCAGCTGTTTTAGAGCCGATGCTCACTGTGGTGATACACAGGTCATTGAACTCGAGCCTTCGTCACATGTCGGATATCAGTTGAAGCATGCAGCACTTCATGGCGCACAACGCTACAGTGAAGCTATCGAGGCCTTCCAAATCATGCTTGCGAAATTGGACAGTGCTCGTGGCATGCAAATACGAAGTAAGCCTTAAGTAAGATGCGTGTCCAGATGCTCAACTCTTTCCTCAGAGCTGCGCGAGAAGTATATCAGTCCATCCAAAGCAGAAGATATCATTCGAAAGTCCATCGACGTTCAACTTTACAACCCGAGCCACCCCGCTTCGTCTGCTCAACACCAACACCGGGCTCTTGTGTGGTCGAGAAGCACAGATAAGCGCCTTCAAGACGACTACAGAGTACAAACAGCTTCTGTTATCGATTATGAAGCATGCAGACTTTCCAGTGGAGTGCACCGCAGACGCGGTGGCAACGTACTTTCGTTATGTCATGTTATCTCATAGATGGGGAAAGAACGAGCCGCTGCTTCACGACATCCAGGACAATGCCGTGTACAAGTTGAAGAAGGCTGGCGGTTTCGTGAAATTGCAGTCGTTCTGCAAATTAGCTCGTGACGCAGGGTATCACTGGGCATGGGTCGACACGTGTTGCATTGACCAGAATAATCATGTCGAGCTCCAAAAATCACTCAACTCCATGTTTGTCTGGTATCACCATTCAGCGCTCACAGTCGTCTACCTGTCGGATGTTCCGCCTTCGGCCAAGTCTGGCGCGTTGGCGAAGAGTGAATGGAACACCCGAGGGTGGACCGTCCCAGAATTCCTCGCTCCTAAAGCCATTCTCTTCTATCAACAGGATTGGACGCTATATCTCGACGACCACTCCCACAACCACAAGGAGTCTGTCAAGATCATGGATGAGTTGGAAGATGCGACGGGCATAGATACACGCGTCCTCGTCGCCTTCCAACCTGGCATGAAAGACGCTCGACAGAAACTTCAATGGATGTCTACGCGTGTCACCACTGTGCCGGAAGACATCGCGTACTCATTGTTTGGCATATTCGGCATCGCACTACCTATCCTTTATGGCGAAAACGCGCAAAATGCGCTCGGGCGTCTCCTGCAAGAGATCGTGGCTCGGTCGGGGGACACCACCGCCCTTGACTGGGTCGGACAACCGTCCGAGTTCAATAGTTGTCTTCCGGCTCACATATCCTCATACGCAGCTCCGCCACGCGCCCTCCCATATTTGTCTGAAGATCATATTCAAACGGTGGTCTCTTCGCTGCGACACACTGCGACCGTGGATCAGGTTTCGAAACTTTATGACCAGCTTGACAATATGAGCGCTCCTCGCTTCGCGAACTGCAGGCTCCGTCTACCATGCATCGTATTTCCTGTCACGGCAGTCAGACGGAGGTCTGGTCCAGCCCAAGAGGCATCATACACTTATGGAGTCAAGGCGGACGGACTTGATGACCTATCGATCACCACCGAAGAGAATCTGATCCAATTCTCGCGGCTCAGGCCCACTCGACAGACGTTCTTACTCGTCCGTCCTTGGGATCGTCGTCTCCTTGAGCTGCCTGACATCGCGGACGATGCGGAACGCTTGAGAGATTGTCATCAGCTCGAGTCTTTGCTTGATGACTCTGACGAGTCCGTCGACGATTCACCTGGGGAAGAAGAGTTCGCTGATTCGGAATCTTGCTCACGTGCATTGAGATTGATCGTTCGCCTTGGACAGCCGTTCGGCGCATTTTTGCTAGCGCAGCAGCGTGGCGGAGAATACAAGAGGATCGCATCAGATTACGATATAACTGCAGAAGTCAAAGACATATATTCTGTCCATACCATGATGGACATCAGGACCCTGGAAATATTGTAGCCTTATACATATATTATTTGGAAGATTCGGGACTCTTTGACGATGCATATGGATACGTAGACAACCTTATATATATATAATTTTAATCACGCATTGACACTGCCCTTGTCCTTCACTGGTGACCCTTTCGCCTGACTCCTCGATAACACTTCCTGACGCCCTGCTACGGTCGAGCAGCTCCAGGTTTGCTTTCACCATGACCCGCCAACGTCCAATTGAAAGCTTCGTCAATAGCCTCAATTTACCGATGTCAATTAATTCAGGTAGAGTCACGGTAGCATGTATCTCGACACTTTCTGGAAACTTGGAAGACTTGTTTGGAAACGGTCAGAACGGCGTCTGTCTGGAGACCTATTTTTACGAGATTGTGAAGACGGAAAAACACTGTACACACTGAGTCCGAATGGTGAATGTCTGTGCATGTGGTATGTCCCGCGATATCGACCGCGACCGTCTACTGGCGAACAGACATATTTGTAGTAGCAGATTCTCGAGGATTTTCAACACATACTTTGGGAGGTCGTAAAGCCTAAGACGTTTTTCTTCTCTGGTGCAGCATGAAACAGGAATCCACGCAGAAGAAAAGGGCGAAAGATCTATACTTCACGTTTGAGTAAGGGCGGCCATATTGAAAAAGGACCCATATTGACTTGCCACTTCAGTATCAGCTGCAATATAAGACTGAGCCAAACACGAGCAGGGTCTGGTCGTCTAACCCATTCTTCAGCAATGTAAGGGGCATCTCATGGCTCAACGCTCATTGTTAGTGTTAAAGATATTGCACATTTTGAGCGCATATTGTAACAAAGTAACAATCTAGATGTTGTGATTTGTCGCCAAGGACGAGATAGACGAGATTCGCAGAAATTTGGGTGACTTCCGTGGTGTGTTTTATTGATGACTTCAATGGCTGGCGTAGAAGGATTAAATATGATGTATTGAACTCACAGGTGGAACAGAGACGCCAGGGTCTTGCCCAAAGGATTTCACTGATGTGTCAGATAGCCGTCCACCCAGTGGTGTGCAATATTAATGAAGGAGGAGACACACCTCTTCCTGCTGATCCGTGACATAAAATCATGCAGGGTTCAGGCCTGCATCAGCACGCGGTGTTGCTGCTACCGAACAACTTATTTAGGTCCTTTGAGGTTTGAGCCTGCTGTTCTCCACCCTTTCTTCCTTCGCCATCATGCGCCATTGCAGTGTGTGCAAGATCGAATGTGAAAAGCCGCTACGATGTTCAAAATGTCAGAAAACTATGTGAGTACTAGCTGGTGCGAGAGATAAAAACCTTTGATCTGACTTGTGGTGGTTGGGACAGCTACTGCTCGTACGTGACAGGCATCAGCGCTAGCGCTTATTAGACTGGGAGTCTTACATATATTTTTCTTCTAGCCCGGAGTGCCAGAAAGTTGACTGGAAGGTGCACAAACGCAGTGTCTGCACCAAGCCGGCCATCTTACACAGGGTGGACAAAATGATGAAAAAAATGGAGTGGGCCGGGATCACTGATGGACAGCATCGATAGGATGGAACAATTGGCTTGGGAAGAGCGTCGGCGGAACCCGATTCCTGCGACAAAATGCGATGGTTGTTTTGCGCGATTCCGTGGTACTCCTCCAGACGAGGATGACGAGGACGACGCAGAAGATGTAGGAGACGTTTTCAAGCGGTGCACGACTTGTCATTACACTATTTGCAAGAATTGCACGCATCCAGATATGCAAGGTACGCCCCATGGCTTCTATCTCCCTATTTTGACTGCTGAATCTGTGAATCTTAGGTGTACCGTACTTTGATCGCCCGCCAGGCACTTGCCGCTGTCTAAAGTCGAACTTTGGCGAAAGTTACTGCTTGTCATCGCCCTGTTACCTTCACGGTGACGGTAGTAAGCCATACTACGGTGATAGACACCCCGATATAGCGGGCAGTGGGTACGGTGAAGATGCATTTGAGGTGAAGGAGCGGCAGTGTAGGACATGCGGTGTGATTGCACGATGCTTGAAGAAAGAGCATCTGAAGGACGCGCTTCCTGGGATGAATTAGCTATGTAAAATCTGGCGAAGCTTACACGAATTTGTTTGTCTTCCAGTTTGCTCCATGCTGGCATGGATTTTGGTGATACTGGGTCTTCTTGGAACGCTGTTGTCTACCGTATGGCATTGATCGATATTTACATAGTAGTACTGTGCAACTTGATTCGAGAGTGATGGTAGCTGTGGGACGTTTATACTCATGCATTTCAAATTACTATATTATCCAACGTGTTGGAGGTCTCGGGATGCGTCCAATTCAACGCGGCCGCAAACAACTTTACGTAAACAAAGCAACTTTGAACCGACAAATTCATTGATACTTTGTTGATACTCTCACATGTTTTCTGCTCCTCACCAACGATCTTCCTTTGGTAGCTGGATCCCCAACTGCGTGACGAGTCTTTATCTTCATTCATATCAATATTTGACACGGCGTATGAACGACGCATCTGAAAAGAGATTCTCCAACATTTAGAATTTCAGTATCAGCAAAGTTGGAAGATATCCGATCATCTGACGCTGAGCTGGAGCCGAACTATGCACTGAGGACTCTGACACGTGTCGATAATCATGATCTGTAGTCAAGAAGGATCAATGTAGATGTCCGCAAACCCGAGGCTACAATATGGGATAAAACGTAGTATCAGCACTGATTCAGCAGGGATCCGAAAGGCTGGAGATAGTCTCTAACTACAACCGGGATTTTCTAGAAAACTGTTCTCGGACTTGGACGTGCGGAGTGGACAAGCGTGTTCCGAAGGACGAGAGCCTTGTAAGTCATAATATAGAATGTACATCGACTACACAACGCTAATGCTACAAATACTCTTTATAACAGTAGGTATGAAACCCTGATAACTAGCATCGTCGAAATCTTTGCTTATCGACGCCATGCGATCATGTTGTCCCAGGTAAGCAAGTCATCTCCTTGTGCCTGTATCATCTTGATATGCCTGCCCACGATGGCCGTCACCTGTTGCCTTTCTAGTAGGTGCCACCTACATCACATCACAATGTCAATAAGTACCGCGTCGCGACTTTACTATAGGATTTCTAACACTCACCACAATCAACCGCGCCTGCTCCCTCTGCACCGCCACCCTCCTCACCCTCTGTACCTCAAACTCAGGTTCTGTCCCATTGAGCTGCGCGTACGATGGCCGAGGGCCATTTCGAAGCTCGTACATGGATTGTGCGTGGCATATCTGCGCATAACACCTCAGCACAACGACCGTACGACAAAGAACGTGCACATACCTGTTGAGTCATATCTTTTAATGCTAAGTTATGTTGCGAATCACGCTTTCAAACCCCAGGATTAAATACTCCAGGGCTGTGGGCGAACTCCACAGTACGCAAACGAGCAGTTGTCCAAGCAAACGAACAAAAACGTTGGTGGCATGGTGAGTGGCGTGCGCTTTGCTTCCACAATTCATCGTCCACAGTTGCTTGTACACTAGGTATTTACTTAAATACCTCTTTCGCTATGATGAGAAGGTTATCACCCACTCCTCTCATTCACATTCTCAGATTCTAGCTTGCATCGGATAGCTCCAAGACTTGTATCCTCTTCTTACTGTATAGACATGAAAATGGAAATAGGTCCCGCACGTCAAAACCCCCTGGATGCACAGCGTTTCGACCCGCTGCGGCGCACTCGCACAGTCAGTATTTTAGTTTCATTTTCCTGCATCTTAATGTTATCGCTCACATCAATCCTGTTCTTCAGAGACTTGTATCGCTTTTCAACACCGGCACTCCAAAACTGATAGGTCAGGGCCTTTGCGTCAGGACCGAGCGAGCAAGCGTGGGTGATATGTGGCCGGACCATGAGGTTGTAGTCGATCCTTTTGAGGGGGGAGATTCTGATCTGGAGGGGTCGTGCCCATCCCCACCCTTTACTTCTACTACGGACACGTGTGCCACTTCCGCTACGCCTGTCGATGAATACGACCACGACGACATCGTTATCACACGTACCATCATCCGTCCTAACCCCTATCGTGGTCCTACTCGTATGCTACCTCGCACGCGGATGGTGCTTACCCGCATGTTCTCGCGCTCGCCGTCTCCCACAAGCACCTGCTCTCCCTCTCCATTTTCTTTGCCATCTGCGTCACCCCGATCCACCCCCCTTTCGCGCTCCACGAGCCTGGTGCTCCGAGCGCTCAACTGTTTTCAGCACATCCTCAACTTTCGATAGCGATGCGGATGATACGAAAATTCACAGGAGGGAGAGGCCTGTGTTGCTGGTCATTGTTAAGGAGAGGAGGGAAAGGTACGAGGATGATCGGGCGTTTAAGGAGATTGTGGGGAGTGTCTTTCCTGCTGCTGGTGTGAGGGGCGGCGCTTGAGCTTGGTCCTTGCATGGCGAGGTTAGATGCTTGTGAATGTTCGTGATGCAACTCTGGACGCCATATTGCATAGATTCCTTGTTACGCTAATCATTTCATATCTGGGGTCGTTTGTACTCTCTCATTTATGTATATTTTATAGATTGACCTGGTTGTCATCTATCTCATTGTGCGGGGTGTCTACTTGCGTATTCACTATGCGAGTGAATGTTGCGTGATCGGGAGTGGTCCAAGTGGGAGTACCCCAACTACAAATATCGGCTTCCTTCTCAAGTCACAAGCAGGCGACGAGACAAAAAGTTAAATGTCTGTTTTCTTGTGGTACTCTGAAACAAAGTTCGCAGCACGCATGAGAGCAAACACCATATCATGCAACTCCAGGTATGCAGCTTTGATACAGCGACTACTTGCAGGTGTCTGACAGCGTGCATTCAATCTCGAGCGCAACGCCGTGCAAGAGAAGGGAGGACAAATAGATCTATTCACCTGCTCTTTCAAATCGCCAACTCCTTCGTCCATCGCGCATGCTTTGCCTTTAGCGTTGCTTATGGGTCCAAAGATGTCTACATCCGCTACGTGATTGGGTTTCTTATCTTGCAGCGCGGGGACTTTGACAACAACTCCCCCTCTGTCCTTGCAGGTCTTTTCTCGTCCTCGTGCTTTCAAATTCGGTAAACACGCTGCAGCATCAGTTCAATCGTTCGTCTCGTCAGTTCTGAATCCTCTCCTTTGACTTTAATTATCGTGTTTGCAGCGGATACTCCGATGGATTGTTTGCTAGTGAGGAGATGGTGTGGAGTGTGGCGATGAATGGAACTCCGAATTGAAGATGAGTTTCTTCGGTCATTGAGGGACCATTTGTACATGACAGAGTCCAGATCGGAAGTATGAGGGCAATCAGAAGAGACATGCGATAAGCGTAGTATAAGTTCAAATTAGACCCGAGATATCTGATAGTGTGGCAGATGAATGGATGTCCGGTATGAAAGGGTGTGATGTGCTCGCATTCATGCAAACAGTTTAAAATTTAGCAGTTCACAGGGATGGGCAACGAGTTTGCTAAGAATGTGAGGCCATCGAGGAAAATGTAGCTATATAGGAGTCAGAGTCGCAATAGAGGTCCTGGTTGATGTCCTTGAATTCGTCTCCGAGACGAATTCAAGAGCACCAACCGCGTTCTTGTTGTCAATTACTCACGCGGCAAGTCCCTCCGGATCCCGTTTTCACATGCTACGGCCACTGGATGAACAAATGACAAGCCACAGTCATTTATCCAATGACATCATGGTTCAATATTCAATACTAGTACTCATTCAAGTTATACATGCCTTCACACTTGTCATAACTGTCTAATTCAAGTCAACCCTGGTTATCGGATGGTGGCATACATGTCCCGCAGCTCCCTACGTAGGTCTTTATCTCGTCGGACTTGGAGCAGAAGCCGACCCTTTCTAATTACATTTCCTGCTGGACCCTGTGGGGCTGTATCGTATCACGTTCAGTGTTGACAATCCTGGGATTGACGAAGACAGATGCCACTCCGCTTATCATCTGTCCATTTCGGTCACTCCGACTCACAGCACTGATGGCTAGCAATATAAAATGGCCCCTCTTTGACTGACTTTTCCTACAGCAATCCGCTCTATTATCAACTGCCTCACATGCCAGGTGAGTTGTCTGACTCGATTCTGCACCCCCTCACTGTGACGCCACTGACTCCGTCTTGTAGCTTAACCGCACTCACCACCATCATCATCATGTTCAACAACAACACCCAGCAATGCAACTGCACCTCCACGTGAGTTTTGCCTTGCGATATTTCAAGGACAGTTTTCTGACTGTCTGTCAACAGCTGCAACTGCCAGGCTGGTAGCTGCGACTGCAAGAACTAAATATTACGCGCAAGCGCACCTGCCTTGTCGATATCTCAGCCGTTTGACGTGACTTGTACTGTTTGTATTGAAATGCCAGAGTTATTCTAGTAAAACGACATATCTTGCTGAAGCTGACAGTCTGAAATTCCCCTTGAACTCGTTACTTCAAGGACTTTGACAATATTGTAACTGACGTTTAGCTTGCATGGTGTGGTATCCCCCTGATATAAACCAAATGACTCCGCTCGTTGCGAGCACTTCGAAGATTTGAGCATATGTATTGGTACCCGGCATTGCAGTGCCATATCGACTATGCGCCCAAGGCCCTGACTCCACCTTCGGAACAGCAACTACTCGGCCATTCATCGGACTTGCTTTTTAGGCAGGGCCAAAGTTGAAAGCTATCGGCATTCCAACGATGCACAGAGTATAGTGTCATACAAATGATCGTCTCACCAAGTACGTAGGTTATAATAGTGCAACTGCTGATTGCCCGCGGGAGAACGCAGACAAGGGGGGCAAAAACCCAAGGTCAAATCGAGTCCAAACAGGACGGTTCAACGATGATGATGATGAAGTGTACCACAGCTCATCGCAAAACTAGGTAGAAAAGCCACGCACGAAAATCCAACCAGATAGAAAGGCAACACGCGAAATTTCCATGCAAGGCATCAAAACAGGCAAAGCTAGCGAAGCCCATGACAACGGCAGACGTACGTAGGTCAGATTCGAGGGCTACGTCTGGTTGAAGGATCGTGCTATGATCTAGTTCATGGTCCGGGATAGTATGGTCTGGTTCGCCCTCCTCCACTAAAGTGGTAGTCGGGGAGGATGTTCATGTGCGCTTGAACCGGGTTAACTGCACGATCGAATAGCGCCAGCAATCGGTGTCACTATTTATCGGTTGTTTTAGAGCCCGAGTACGAGAGAACTGTGCAGGTGGGTATAGAGGATGAAGGGGTATCAATACTGTCAGACAGAATGACGTGGTGTCATCTGCGTGAGTATCATCAAGTAACAAACCGAAACCATCCGATGTTCGAAAAAAGACATACACAATTATAATATTTCTAGCGTCCTGATGTCCATCATGCTATGCACAGATGTCACATCTTTGACTTGTGCAATGATATCGTGATCCGATGCGATCCTCCTGTATTCTCCGGTGCGCTGCTGGGCAAGCAAAAATGCACCGAACGGCTGTCCGAGGCGGGCTATCAATTGCAATGCCTGTGAGTAAGACTCCAAATCAGCCAACTCCTCTTCTCCAGGCGAGCCGTCAAGGGACTCGGGCTCAGACCAACTTCCCAAGCTTTCTGCATCGTCTGCGAAGTCAGGCAGCTCGAGGAGGCGACGATCCCAAGGACGGACAAGTAAGAATGTCTGTCGGGTTGGTCTGAGTCGTGAGAATTGGATCAGCTTCTCTTCGGTGGTGACCAGTAGGTCATCGAGCCCGTCCGACTTGACTCTGTATGTGAATAATGTCTCTTGGGCTGCACCAGACCTCCGTCTGACTTCAGTGACAGGAAATATGATGCAAGGCAGACGGAGCCTGCGGTTCGTAAAGCGAGGATAGCTCATATTAGTGAGCTGATCGTAAAATTTCGAAGCTTGATCCACGGCCACAGTGTGTTGCAGCGAAGAAACTACTGTCTGGATCTCGTCTTCAGACAAATATGGGAGGGCGCATGGAGGGGCTGCGTATGAAGTGATGTCAGCCGGAAGACAACTATTGAACTCGGATGGTTTTCCGATCCAGTCAAGGGCAGTGATGTCCCCTGACCGAGCCACAATCTCCTGCAGGAGCCGCCCGAGCGCATTTTGCGCACTTTCGCCATTCAGGATAGGTAGCTGGATGCCGAAGATACCAAACAATGAGTATGCAATGTCTTCCGGCACAGTGGTGACACGCGCAGACGCCCATTGCAGTTTCTCTCGAGCATCTCTCATCCCTGGTTGGAAGGCAACAAGGGCGCGTGCATCTATGCCTGTCGCATCCTCCAACTCAAGCATAATCTCCACAGACTCCTTGTGGTTGGGAGAGTGGTCGTCGAGATATAGCGTCCAATCTGTTGGTAGAAGCGAATGACTTTAGGAGCGAGGAATTCCGGGACGGTCCATCCTCGGGTGTTCCAATCAGCTTTTAGCCAATGCGCCAAATTTGGACGAAGACGGAACATCCGAGAGGTAGACGACCGTGAGCGCTGAATGGTGATACCAGGCAAACGAAGAGTTGAGTGATTTTTGGAGCTCGACGTGGTTATTCTGGTCAATGCAACACGTGTCAACCCAGGCCCAGTGATACCCCACGTGACGAGCTAATTTGCAGAATGACTGCAATTTCATGAGACCCCCGGCCTCCTTCAACTTGTACACGCCCTTATCCTGGATGTCGTGAAGCAGTGGCTCGTTCTCTCCCCATCTATGAGATAACATGACGTAACGGAAGTACGTCGCCACCGCGTCTGCGATGCGCCCCAATGAGAGGTCTGGATGCGCCATAATCGATAACAAAAGCTCGTTGTAATCTGCGCTTTTCTTGAAGGCGCTTATCTGCGCTTCTCGATCACATAAGAGTCCAGTGGTCGTATCAAGCAGACGAAGTGGTGCGGAGTCAAGCTGAACATTTATGGCCTTTCGAATGACACTTTCTGCTTCAGAGGGACTGACAGACTTGTTGCGTAGCTCTGAGGAAAGATGAACATCTAAACACGTGTGTTACGTAGAACTCACTTCGTATTTGCATGCTGTGGGCACTAGCCAATTTCGCGAGCATCATCTGGAAGGCCTCGATTGCTTCAATATAGCGTTGTGCGCCATAGAGCGCCATATGCTTCAACTGATATCCAACATGAGACGAAGGCTCGAGTTCGATTACCTATGTATCGCCGAAGTGAGCATTAGCTGAAACACTACCTGAGCGGATGGCATTGTACCTTTTGCGCGTCGAGAAGCGCATCCTCCCATAACATTTGTTCCAATTTGGCCCTGCTGCGGTTTGCAAATATGGTGCCGCTTGGAGAATTCAGGGTCAAGGAGGGCTGAACGGTGACGGGCTTTGTGTTGAGTGAAAGGATCTGTGGCACGAAGCACGCTCAATTTGTGTTATCAGAGTCAAGCACGAAAACACACCTTTGCAATAGAAACTTGAGCCTTGGCAGAAGATGAGATGACAAAGGGACAGGAAATCAACGGAAACGTGCCGCTGATGCCGGTGTCTCTGGCAAAACATCCTTGGGCACTGCCCAATCTGATATCATCTTATCCTGACCTCCACTCAGAATGTGCTTGCGATCTATGTAGA